TAAAATAAATGTCAATACAATCAAATAAGTGTGATCGGGGGAGATTTTCAGATCAATTTTCCGTTACAGTCTGTATATAACTACCACCACTTGGGCTACTGACTGTTTCAACATCTATTTCCATCGAATTCTACAAGTATTCCCAGCAGAATTAATCCATATTACATTTAAACGTAACATGGTGACCTGGAAATGCATTGCCAGAGCCATACACGTTGATTATATGACTGTGGATGCTTTATTGATATTCTACATTGTATGAATGGGTCCTTTGTGGTTGGCAAAACTAAAAGCTGAAGGTCATTCTAAGTAATAAACTGTTATATTACTAATCAGCGAACTATGCGAAGGGACTAACAACGGCGGTTGGTTATAATGCAAACTTTGAACGCTGCGCGCTTTTGTTATTGATAACGGAACCCGTCTGTGAGATGGGAGATGAAAATCCATATCCATCTCATGAAGTTCGGCAACTTTTAATAAGATTATGCACACTAATGACTTGGTATGTGGATTATTTAATGCTAGATACCAGTTCGTAAACTTTCAGTAATTATGAATTTGACGGTGCTCGTAAACTGGTATCCCTCATGTTAAACCTGTTAAATAAAGACAATATCTATTATTATCTAAACTTTAACACTCTATGTACACTGCAAAGTAATATTTCCTTGTTCGGTTGATAACTAGCAGGACCTTCGGCCGTTTTTAACTAAGGTTAATGACATTCCGTCAGTAACACTCAGGGCTCAGGTCTTGTAGATACATTGCGGTGTATCAACGTGATGAAGCCTGCAAATTGGCCTCTCTAATGTCAAGCATATTTAACGTGGGAACGTAACATTTATTTATTCACTTATTTATCAAACACAGTCATCCACGAACACTGGAATTCACAATGGTAGACCGCATTCCAAAACACTTGTTGGAAGATGAAATATTGTATCTTGAGCCTCTCGCGGAGTGCAATACATTGACACTTAAGCTGCGATGGCTTGCACTCTATGACAAATATTTTATTCTCAAATAAGCAGTTTGACATGAGAGAAGCCAGCTTACAGGTATCATCAAATCGATAGTGGTAGAGAAATCTCCAGTAGTTGAACTGTCCTTAATGATACAGAAGGTATCGCATCACGGTTTATCATGATAATAAAAGTGACTACAGGTCATGAAAAGAACAGAAGAATATCACTTCACAACACGTTCAGATTGTCTGTGAGTTCCGGTTGTCTCCACCCACCATTCTTTCTACACAATAAAGTGGTACAAAAATCGTTCAATGTTTGGCGTTTGCGTTACATATGATCTAGATGGTTAACCTGGCGGGATAGTTCCGTGTTCCTTCAGATAAACTTTCATTTTGACACAAATCCGATAGATATATTACGAATAAATATCTGAAAAAAGTGAAGGCAAAGATACCTGGCGATATACTAAATGAATGAGCTATTTGGTCACGTATATTGTCCTGGATGGTAGGATGCTCGCATTGTCCTTCGTTCCTTCCATGTCGTAAGAATGTCATATGGATGTAGCCCCAGACATACTGGGACGTCCTATCTTCGAAACTACCTTTACAGATAATAGCATAGGGCCTTTCTTATATCATCGCATGTTAAATGACGTCAACCTGCAGCTGGCCTGCGACAAAATAGCTGCATGCGTTGTGGATATGAGGAAAACTTACGATGCGATAAATAGCAATGGCTTAGACCTTTCTTACGTTGAAGGCTGTTGTGCATTCAACTCGTAAGAGTTGTAAAAATTAACTACAATTTCTTCCACTCAGGTTGCTACCTTATGATACACCTGATTCATGATGATGCAGATGACTGGCTGAACTGCCTTCTCCACCAACTTTGCTGTCAACCATTATCGATACGCAAAGCGAGATAAATGTCACAACCTCAACCCTTGAGGACGACCACGAAACAGAATAAAATTAAGAGACGATTGTCAGTCTCGAAAATCCTCTGTAATTATTAAGTTCCTCATTGCAATTGTGGTGGTTAAACTTCCCATTCCTGTCGGTCTGTTCTCAATGAATCCTTCGGGAATCGGTCATAATTGCCTAACGGCTGCTTTAAATACGAACTTAGCAACTGAGGTTACGAGTCTTGTAAATAGGTCTAACATAACTCTTTAGTCCCAAGTATTTCGTCACTTCACTCTGTAACAACCTTTAAAGACTGTCACTTCAGAAAGCTGCAGCGTTTAGGAAGTTTTTATTTCGGTGAATAGCATAAATGATAGTTTTAAAAAGCTTCTGACGACTACTTGTTATTACTCTTCTTTAATTGCCACCAAGTTCAGCATCCATCCAACTGAAATTAAGTTTAGGCATAAGGCACAAGTGAATAAAAGGGATACATAACTTTTCGCTGCCGCAATATGAGGCAACCAGTCACCAATGTGTTCTCTATTGCAGCATTTTCGCCTGTCTGTATTAGTACATGCCGGCTCCAACACAGAAGCTGCCTTCTCTTCGGCGTTGTTCGTGTAATGAGCATTGCAAAATCAGCTCTTGGTAATGCTAATTTACTAATGAGACATCTGAATAAGTCGGTGCGTTACGAACAGCAGAGTTGGCATCAGAATTCCATTCACTTCCAATTCTATTAGATGTGTTAGCATCTACCGACGTTCTGGATGACTTCGTACCGTTTAGTAGTGTCTGCTTTATTCTAAACTGGGCGCTTCAACCTAAAATTCACACACTATACGGGCATTCCACAGTAAAAACAAGGCAAAATACATCCCAAATAACTACGTGTGTGCGGGCAGTAACGGCGTATAAACTTCGATTTTTCACATTTTCGGAACTTTTGGGGATATAAAGTCAACGGTTGTGCTGTTAAATAAGTCATATGAGCAATCTTTTAACCAAACAAAACACCTGGTCATCTTCCTAGTCTCTTGATTTTTTCGGCTCTCCATTAGTCTCTGCAGTCAGTCTTGATCGTGTCTTGCGGTGTTGTTTATAGTATTCATTAAATTTTATTTTTTGCTGAGGAGGATTTGAAAGTGAATTCAAACTCTTGTATAATAGAATTCTTGACCCTTTTTACTTGGCGGAGTTTTGCTATTTTCCTCTTTTTTATCTGCACCGCGTAAACTTGAGACTCGGTATTATTCATTTTGGGTGTCTATATTTTACTTCTAGGTTTAGAAATCTTTGTTACGTGTTGGTCATATCACCCTTTGTCACTAAATTTTGGCGGGGTGAACGTCTAATTAAGAGGGCCGGAAAAATTAGTAGTATGATACTAGATCTCAGACAATATATCAAATAAACTAGAGGCACCTTGTTCACGAATATGGTGAGAGCGCTGATGAGCCTGGGACTACATTGGGAAATGAAGCCTAAAACTTGACTTCGAAATGAGCTTTGTAGGTTTAAAGTCCCACTGATCTAGTCAAATAGGATGATTTAATTTTCCCAATCTCCTTCAACGGTTGCGAAGTGAAATACATAGATCAAGGTGGTGGACTAGGGTCGTTTAGGCTATCCAAGCACGAAAACCCAGCTGATTTAAAATTGCTGGATCATGGTAAGATAAAGAATTTGGACAAAGTGCTCAGACATATTATTGCATATAATCACACACAGCCACTTTAGGGCTCAACTTCTCCACCACCCTGAACACCAGCTCCAGCTACAAAGGTGTGGGGATCAGAGCGCACGCTATTTCGCACTTTCTGCGCAGACAGCTTGGCGCCGTCATCCCCGAACTCTTCCTCACAGATCTCAAATACTACGTACCTAGAGGTCTTCAATGCTCTGGCCCACCCAACACTCAATAGAGACTCTAACCCTCTTGAGAGAATACAAAGATCTGGAACAAAATCAGTTGAGGGTCTAAGGAAGAAAACACCCTGAAAGGCTGAAATTATTATTAGTCCCTTGGGTTCCTAGTGGAACATAGGGCTTCAGTAGCACGTCTCCAGTGACCTCTGTTCCCTGAGATCTTTTGAACCTGGTTCCACGACAGCCCATAAGCTCTCATTTCCTCCTCACACGACCTCCTCCATGTCACCCTCAGCTGGGACGTCCAACTCGTCGCTTCCCATGAGGATTCCACTCGAGGGCCTGACGCGTGATGTCCTCAGTCGGCCTTCCCAGTGCATGTCCAATCCATCTCCACTTCCTCCTGCATATTTGTTGGGCGATAGGTCCTTGGTTGGTTCGTTCCCAGAAAGGCTAAAATACCCAAACCTGTTCACCTTGGGTTATCGCAGGGAGAGAGGTGGCCTTATTGAGTGCGTTTTATGGAATGCCCTTCCGCTATAAATCGTTGAAGCCCCTCAGTTGGAGCATCCGAGAGACTGTTAAGCGGTTATGTCACCTCACGTGGTCTACCATGGACGTACTCAGCGAGTCACTAACCTGACCAGTCCATTCTCACCTTTCTTCTACTACCACTTACTATCTCTCTCTTTAATACACCCACATTGCCTACCAATTCTTCTCTAGAAGACTGACCTACGCTATCTACTTTTGCATTTCGGGCAACTCCCACATACTTTCTTTTCTTTATGTACCACTACCTTACTATTCCCATACAGGTACCTATACAGGCAGGAGCCATGACAGTCCCCTAACCTGCCTTGCAACCCGTAGCTCCCTTAGCTAAAAGTAAGAGGGCAGAGGAGATTTTCTAGTCCATTGCAGGAGTAAGCCAAACATTTTGAGCCAAATCTCAAGAACTAGACACGAGAGATCAAAAACTATCAGTTTTTCACGGTCGGACTATCAATATTGGATTTTGGACGCAATAGGATGGGACAAAGTGAAAAACCTTGAAGCTTACATAGCGGGTTGGAGAGAGGAGTTAAAAACTGAATATTTGTCGATCGAAATGACACCTAGAACATGCTACAGGAATGTCCCAATACCTGTTCCGGATGTATGCAAAATCGTACCATCAATGTCACAAAGGAGGCGGAAAAATTAGAACTATATACGTCATGTATAAAAGTTATGTAGTTATTTTGATATGATTATGAACCATAAATTGTGTCGGAAAAGTAATTCACTAAGTAATACTGTTCTACTATGTGATACATCTAATAAATCAACTAAAACGCGATTCAAGGCTGAGCTTCGATCATTCGACCTTGTTTGGCGCTACTTTCGGTCTTTTTGCCTAATGGTCAGTGTTATTCTTTTAACTGGGTTATTTTAATGAATGTCCGAAATTACACCTTCCAGAAGTGTCGGTATAGAATTTGAACGCTTCCTATTTTATCTGCGTCTATTGGATACTAGAATCAGAACTCTTATGTTCTGTGTTAATGTAATTAATCAATTACATCGGATCATATTCCAAAAAGTTTATGTCGTTTCTAGTGATGAATGACCAATGGACCATAAAAACCTGATCAAAATAAACATTCAAACTTATATTGTGGTCAGTATGTTGAAGCGTGCATCTACCGTTAGTTACAGAGTATTTACTCTAAAATTGTTTGGAAGTCCATGTTCTGATTGTAGCATAGGTGATTCAGAGTTTGTTCACTTTGAAATCTCATGGAGTAGTAGGTATGAGATGTGCACCAAGGAGTTGAAATAAAGTGCGCCAATTACGTGATCCAAAAGTGAAGCTATATGCCCATGGATGCATAGGCCTTTTCGTGCACCACATTGGATCAGATAATAATTTAGTCTTCGAGCATAAAATTAATAAAGGAGTGGTTTCTGGCATTCGAACTATGCTAGTATGTTATGCCGTTATGTCAAAAACTGCTGTTATTTGTACCACATGAGCTTAATTCTGTAGCATAATTTACAATTATTCGACAAAGACTCTTAGCACTGAATAATTCTTTTATCAGAATTGAGGGGTAATTTTTAGTAGGACGCATGTTAGGGTCAATAACTGGTGCTAACTTTCGTGGTTGGCTGTTGTATGCAGGTCGTACATAGGTTGTTTTAAACAGGTTACCCTGAGAACACCAACACTAAGTGCTTGACAGTGCTTCAGTAGAGAGACACATCAGTTCATGAGTGAATATTCGTTTCCTGATATCCTTTGACCGATCGGTCCTAGGTAGATGAAGTGAATTACTTGGAATATATACCGTCAATACCGGTGCTGAATACTATTAGCGACATCCCTTACCTACGCAAAGTTACTAATGAATATAACAAATTTTATAAGTTTTAAAAAGAGTAGGTCTATTCAGTGTGTATAGAGTCTTATGTCGTATTCCCAAAGTGATATGGGCCAGATTGTGGTGGAGTTGATGAATTTAGGATTTCAGATCTCCAAATGTCTCTTTATTCTTCAACGCTTTCACCTCTTGCGACTGTCTATTCTTCCAATTTTAGGCTTTCTGCTCGCTGGTAAATTCATTTAAGCATGCATTTCTGCCAGTTTTGAACACTAAACCCATCTAACATTTTAAATCATGATAGCCTGAACTTCATATTCGGACATTAAGTCTCAGTTGTGATCCCGTGGAAGCCTTAAGAATTCATATAAAGGAGCAAACAACTCTAAAATCTCCTGTAGATATTATCACAACTTGTACTATGTTTTCTGTACGATGGTTCATACTAAACTGTAGATGAGTATGTTATCCAATGGACCAAAAATGCCGTTTTAGAGGGTAAATTCTAGTGCTCATTACCCATCTGAATCACATTTTTGCTAGGAATTACCTAAAGTGGTTGTAGAGTTGTGATTTAAAAATTCGATTTTCCTTGCCACATGTTTAAGACCTATATCTTTCAAAGTTCATTCAGCTGGGTACTATCTTTAGTCATTACAGATAAGGCATAGTTGGGTGCGGTGGCAGTTAAGCTTCTCTGGAAGAATCAGCATCTTTGAATCTCTCCACTGCATTTAAAAACATTTAATACAGTGGGTCAGTCCTCAAACTGCGCATTTTATTTAACTTCATGACTCGCAATAAATTGTCTAGTTAGCTGTTTTGTCTACTTTATTGTAACTGTGGTATCTGACATTTGCATTTGTAAGATCCCCTGCAAATCCCAAATGTGTTAAATCTCAAGCTTACTTAGTGAATTTGGAGGCCTTTTGCAACTTATGTGCTAGGTTGTTGGGAATTCACTGCCTAGTTTCCACATTCGGCGACCTCACATGATAGGTTAACTGCACCAAAATTTTCTTTGCCCTACTGTATGGCTGTAAACCATGACTGTTGAAGATGGATGATATGAAGAGGCTACATTTTTTGTATCGTAGGTATTTTCATGATATTGTTGAGGTGTTATATAACCCCAGCGTATCTACTTCTACAGTCGGGCGTTGCCTACTGGAGTTGGTGAAATTGTAAACTTTCAGAAAATGAGGTAGCTAAATCATATGTTGTGCATGCCAACTGTTTATTCTCATACACTTTTGTCCACTTTAGCGTCATTTTCTATCCTTCCACTTTTTTCGGATGCTGCTGTTGAGTTTAGCAACTTGAAGTAAAACAATTCAGTGTCAGATTCTAAGTTTTCTGTCATTTAACTAGCCACCTACTTAGACACGCAATGCTAAGAACAGTTTGAAAGCTAAAGGTGTTCAAGTCTAGATCACTAACTTTGTACAACGTGGACACCAAGAGATGCACCGTACAAAATGAAGCAACATTAGGAAGACAGAAAACGCAAGGGAGGATCGAAACAAAAACAGAAGTAGGTTATTAAAGAATCAGTTTGAAAGATATACTTGAAAAGAGGCATTTGCTACCTTTGTTTTGATTTTCACTAATAGCAGAGACAAGAAAAATGCAGGAGGACCACTATTGGTTTTGATTCCAAGCCATCTCTGCTATTGTTTCAATCCATTAAGTTTCTTGATCTCTCAGACTCCATCCGAGACCAGTGAGACACCTGAAGATGCTAACCTAGCTTAATTATGCATCATCCCGAGGCGCTACGTCGTATACAGGCGACTTCTCTGCTTCTTCCATCCAATCCTAGAGCAAGCAAATAGTGGGTGCTGTGAAAGCCACCGGGATGACGTATGAAGCACATGTTCAAGCCACCAAAGCCAGTATTTTAAGGTGACCAGGCTCTATGAATGAAAATTTCCATCACACCTAAACACACTTTGCCTGACCTCAGTGTAACTTACTCAGCGCTTGCACCGAATGCGAGCAATGCTGCAGATACAACAGTGATAGAAAGCGCTGATCCGTCAAACATCTTATGCTGATCAAGGCTAGATTTCACAGGTGCAGAGCAGAACTGTCCACGCTGACGCATCGAATACTCGACCTTTCACAGCAAAACCAACGTCATGAATGCACCACAGGTTGCCTAGATTCGCGTATGCTGTGCTGGCTTTCGTTATACAACTAGAAGTTTCATGTCACACCTATATCAAACCCCATACAACTATCGTGGTGCACAAGCTTTTCGATAACTGGCGATTCACCACCAAAAATGAGTGTGGATACAGGCTCCTGCCAATCTTGTAGAATTATTTTGCACTGTGACGGCCGAACGCAAGAAGCACACTTACGGACAATTACTGAGTGCTTTCTGAGTGGCATTTATGTTATCGTGCTCACATTCGGGATAGAAAAGTCTGATCTAGTTACGGGTCTAGACTATCACTACATACTTCCTTCAAAACTGTCCCGAGAATGTCGTCGACGGCAGAGTTAGTGAGGAATGGTGAAATTAAACAACGGTGGCTAACCACATAAATATAGTCTATGTGTTCTCTGTTTAGTTGCCGTCAGCCGCCATATTAGACAGTGTCTCTCTTTGTGTGACGTTTGTACTGGCCAGAAATGAATGCTTGTCTGGGCACAGTTGTAGAAGGTGATCATCGGTATATGTTCGTTTCGCAGGGATTCCGAAAGTGTCACCTAAGTGCCTTTTTGTCTGACTTAGCCTACCCACTTTTGTATTGAAATCATCTTCAACGAAAACCATGGCTGATCGTTTGGCTTTCATTCGAAGGCTAATGGGTATCTGCTAGCACTCGTCCTTTACCTCATCTGAATTGTAGTCAGTGGGTGCTTCGTGATGTCATCACATCGGTAACGCAGAAGTTAGGTGTAGAGTTTTAGGAGGGAGAGGGAAGTCGGTTAATAAGGCCGTGCACCTTCTTCGACTAAGATGACTAGGACGTGTTACGCAAGCCTAGTCACCACCTACCCCGTCGCGCAATGTTGACTGAAGTAGGTCCAGGCTAGGAAAAGGCTTGAGGCGGCGACTGCGATTTGACATCAGTGCACACATTTTTTGGCTGTTGATCTGAGCCATGCGCGGAGATGCTGACTAGCCGATTGGGATTTTAAGTGACGATGGGAACCAATGGTTGGAGACTCTAGGCGATATGGCTTAGTATCAGCGTCCGCGAATTGTATGTTTGCACACCTAATCCTAATCGTTGTGCTAAATTCAGCATTTTTTCATTCTTCTTGCCTATCCTTCACTACTTCCTGCTGCTTTTGACCAATTTTTCTTTCTCGTTTTTCATCTTAAGGGTTTGTTACTCTATGTACTGATATGAAATGGGTTAGCTTGGACCGTTACGCAATGATGCCTGGTCCTATATTAAAATAGATGATGAACTCCGTATCTAAGATCTTTAAGTCTATACCCATTCGATGCTCAACTGGAAACAACATAGTGGCGAAAAGCAGGCGGTTGCCAGACCTAGGTGTCAAGGTGCATCGATTGGACCTTCACCCTTCTACAGGTAGTGGTTTCCGTCAATGGTCCGGCGAAATCAACATGAACTCTCGACTACGGGCGTTCGGGATTTGCCCAGGGCATGGGTGATAGTCGTGGAGGATGCTTGGCGGCTTGTTGACTGAGTACTGGTTGACGCAGTCTGTAATTTGTTGATCCATCCATGGCCAATACACGTAGCTGCGAGTGATTGACTTCATGCATTCGATGCCAGGGTGACCTGAATGAAATTGATTAGGATTTGGTCACGAAGAGACGTAGTGACTCTGACCCGGTTTCCAAACATGAGGTAGTTGTTGACAATACACGGGGAGTTTTGGCGATGTTGCAGCTGTTTGAGATTACCTATGAACGTTTCTTTCGGCCATCGGGTGAGAACTAACTAGATTGCGCACTGTTGTGTTTTATCCTTGCGTGTAGCCGTCCGGATATCCTCTGGGGTGACTGAGAGCGCTCTGATGGATGCAGGTAAGTCAAAAGCTGCGAAATTTTCTGTTGAAACTGTTACAATTACGTTTTCTTCGTTGGTCGTAGGCCAGACGCTTATAAGATGGAACAAGGCATCGGTTTGACGAAACTCTTGGTTGTTTCGAAACTGAATGTCAAAATTATATCACAGTAACGTCTGGGCCCATCGTTGAAGACGATTTACACAGTGAACCGGAACACCATATTTAGAACCAAAAACAGCCAGCAGCAGTTTACAGTCTATAAGTGGCGTAAATTTACGGCCATAGACTAGCTTATCGAAACGACGGATGGCGAAAACAATGGCCAAGGATTCTTTCTCAATTTCCACTTTGTGATAGACAGCGTTCGCAAAGCATACATGATGGCCTTCTCTTTACCATCTGGAAAGACATGTGAAGTTACAGCCCCAACTCCATGAGACGAAGCATCTGCGGCTATAACGATTAACAAATGTGGGTCATAGTGGGTTAGCAAAAGGTCGGATGATAACATAGGCTCCAGCTGACGGAAGGCTGATGCACATTCTCTGGTCTACTGCCACGCAACGTCTTTACCCAGGAGGTGATTTAACGGCGTCTTCACAGCATCCTATAAGGGTAAAAATGGTGAACAATAGGTAATCAGTCCCAAAAATGATCATAGGGAGGGAACATCAGTCGGTTTTGGCATTTGCTGTATGGCACAAATATTTTTCGGGTATGATCGACGACAGGAAGCATTGAAAATAGATCGCAGATATTTGACTGGATGTAGGTAGAACTGTCATTTTTCTGGACGTAGACGTGAGCCGTTATCTTCTGTCTGTTTCAGCACCTGGTCCAGTTAGTTTTGTAACTGTTCTGAGGAGGCCGCAACAATGATAATATCATACAAATATGCAGCTATCCCGGGTATGCCAGATAATATGGTATCTATTATTTGTTTGAAAATTGCTGGAGCTGTTTTAATTCCAACTGGAAGGGGGTTGTACTGGTATAATCCACTATGTGTTAATCGTTAATAATCTTCGGCATTCTGGTGCCGCCTCGATTTGTAGATATACGTCAGCCAGGTCAATTTTAACAAAGCACGTACCGCCATTGAGAACAGTAAAAATACCCTTCGGTGCTGGAGGTGGACAGTGATGGTGTTCCAGTGCTGCATTAAGCCCCATAGAAAAATCTACACATATGTGAATAGATCTGTTTGGCTTTCTGACAACCACAATAGGAGCCTCCCATGTGGAGTAGGAAACTGGTATGGGAACACCTTATTTTCCAGACGGGATATTTCTGCATCGATTTGTGGTAACGATGCGTAAGGCATGGGTCTCTTGGGCCGGAAAATAGGTTTAATGTCATCTTGAAGGCAAAGGAAAGCTTGGGATATTGTGCAGCTACTGAAAACAGGTTTGAATACATTTGGGAAACGTTGGCCTATGTCAGCGATTGTCAGCGGACGCCAGAGGTCTTTCCGCCAGAAAAGGATGCAGAGGAATTAGATGTCTGACGATCCGCATGCACTTGATGATCACCCTGGCGTCCGGATTGGACTAAACTTGTATCCTGTTACAGGTTGACCAATCGTTAATTTTCAGCAACGATATCATTCAACGTTAGCGTTGGTTCTTGCTCCAATCGATTTAGCAATCACATTCTAATATCTGCAAACTTGGGTGACTGAAGACTGCATATGAGTATCAAAGATTTGAATTGGTCATCGGTGATGGACTTCAGCTTAAATTTTTCGCATTCGCGATTAACAGTACCAACATGAGTAAGGAAATCATCATTCTCGATCATGACCAGTTTAAGACAACGATATCTGGCATTGAAAAGAAATGAATGATCATGAAAGTGTTGTCTTAGGGTCTGTGACATCTGAGGAATGGTCTCGGGTTCTGCAGCAGTATTATATTGCAATATTGAGCTAATTCGAATGGACCAAGTTTCCGAAGGAGAGACGAACTTTCCATGAATCATCTTGACCAGCAAAATCAACTCTAAAATGGTTTTCATATCTTCGAAACCAAGTATCAAAAGTCACATAAGCATCCGGACAATAATGAAATTCTGTGATACTGGTTGCGATTCCGTCGACTGAAGAGGTTAATATATCAGGCGTAGTATTCGACGATCCAGCTGCAGAAATTCTGGACTGAGTTAATAGCTCGATAGTCTTCAATTGTTGTTCGAGAAATTTGTCCAGCTTCGAAGAGTCCATTTTTGATCCCATCCCCGTCGCCATTGTTATGACCCACGGTATATGTAATGACACAGTGCTTCGACGCAATACGATTAACGATGGGACAATGACTTCTCAACTCAATATTCAACTGACACCAGAAGACGATGGGATTGGAGGTTTATTTACTGCAACCGTATAATAATAGCTGAAAACTCAGTCGTTTATGTATCCTTAGACGCTCTTGACCAGGGAAAACAAAAGAGCATATTAAAAGTGTAAAATGGACCAGTCAGGGTTTAGTGTCCTAAACTGCGGTAAAAATAAGTAACATAGGATGGCGCAAAAGGGACCCGGAAATAGGGTTCAAATTTTACAACGATAATGTAAACATATCATAAATTAGTTTTCTTAAGGATTAGGCCTCATTAACAATTTTCTCTTTCCTGTCACATACGCTTCTTTTGTGTTTCAATTCCTTTTTTAAGTCCTTACAATGACTAGTGAGTTTCTCAGCTCTGTTATTTAGACATTTGACTAAACCCGCTTTAACTGACACTGGATGAGATGACTTGAAGTCTAGATACCTGTTAGAATGTGTTGGTTTTCTGTAGACGGTAGTATCTAAACCACCATCTATCCTTCGTTTTATTCTGCAATCCAACATAGGTAATTCTCCTTGTTCATTTTCTACTTCGTAAGTGAATTGGTTTGCGTTAACTACTGAGTTTATGTGTGTCAAGAAACTGTCGATATGTTCCGATTTCAACACTGTAAATGTGTCATCTACATATCGCCACCATATCTTAGGTGTCGGATAAAAGAAGCGTTAATAATTAATAATTATCCCCATCATTTTATTAAGAAATTCACACACACAAACACCAATACAAATACAAATAATAGCGACAACATAAGTAGGAAGGAAATCAACACCTCTATTGTGATACCATACAAGGAAGGAACATCAGAAACCATACGTAGGATTCTCAACAAAATTGGAATTAGGGTGGCATTTAAACCAACAAACTCACTTAGAGGTAAGCTTTGTCGGCTAAAAGATCCGATAGAACCAATTAGGCAAAATAATATAATCTACCAAATTCCATGTAATGACTGTGAGGTCAAATACATAGGTCAAGCTAGCCGGTCGGGGTCAGTTAGATTAACAGAACATAGGAATTTAGCTAAACATAGAACGGCACACCCCAATAAGATCAATAATCTAGGAAAACACTCGGCCATTGCATTACATTCATTAACACACAACCACAATAGGGTGGGACAAAACCACTGTACTTAAGTCTAATATAGCTAGGTGGAGAGAGAGATTAATTACTGAATCTTTGTTCATCGAATCCACACCCAACACATGTAATAGGAATGACGCAACACCTATACCAGAGATATGGAAAACTTTACTACCAATCAAAAAACAAAGAAAAATCAGGTGACAGGACTATAAAATCAGATATCGAAAGAAGTGTGATTACATTGATATGATTATGAGCAATAATTTATACTCGAAACGTAATCAATTAAATAATACTGTATCACTGTGCGCTTTATATCAAATAAACAAATCTAATATGGAATTACATTCTACCACAGTGCCCAAGTTTTACACTTACACTTCTGTGTCTGTTTCTATGTTGATTTGTCTGTCTATCTGAGGAAGTTGGTGGCTAATTGCTGCTCCTTCCAAAGCATTTACTTCATCCGCATCTAGAATACGGTTAGTGAACCCATTCCTGTCTGCCACTAGATGGGTACTCATGGATTTTTTCAGGGTCACATACAGGACCACAGTTATAAGAGTATATTTATTGAAATGTTTGTGATTCATCTACATTGGTGGTACAAATGCATCTTTTCTGTATACTTCCCTGAGTAATGATTGTTCTTATTTCGTAGCTTTTCCTTTCCTTTCAAATTTATTTTCTTTTTTTCTACTATAGAGATAATTTTTGTCATCATTTTTCTCGGTTATTCAGTCCTCCTGTACCTTCCTGTTTTGTAAATTATAACGACTTGAATCAGACTGTTATTTCATCATCTCTTAGCTTAGGGTTGTCTGTTTGTGTATTCATTCCAACGCATCGTTAACCATACCAAGTTTTAATAGTGTTTGGTAAATACCTTTGTCATGTTTCAAATGAAATTTTCTGGACAGTTGAAGTGAACAATATGATTAAATTGGAATTTTCAATACAATTTTCCTAAATGCATCTGTTAAGCTTACTGTTGAATAGAATTTTACGAATGTTATAGTATTTTGTTCACTGAACGATTGTAAGACCTCTACCATTTGTTTATAGATTAATTGTTTTAAGTTATATTGTATTCATAAGTTTACTTTCTGTTATAGAGTTAGTTGGATAGCTTTGTATGTTTTAATTCTCTAGACTCCATCAATCGACTCCAACGTTGCTCACAGTCTTTCCACTTTTGATCAACCAGTAGACCGAGCCAACAGTTCAGGTGTTTCTAGTTTATGGCAAGAGGTAGTCGCTCGTCTTGAAGCCTCAGTTGAGAAAGATATTTGTTCAAATGATCCGTTTTTAGTGCTAAAATCGATTCGGTAGGTTTTAAAGTATTAAAATTATGTTTACTTGACTTTGGTGTTTTTTAATACACGTAATGAATTTATTTTTAGTAGTCTGTCAAAAATGTTTATGGATTTCCATTATTTTATTGTGATATTTGTAAATCAAATGTGCATTGCAGGCATTCTAATAAATGTTAATGTAATAAAATTTATAACTAAAAAAAGTTGCTTCTCGGGTCTACGTCTAGCAGTCGTTCTTACATTGGCTTAAAATTGCCATTTCCAATAGTGCTTACATATTTCTTACTAATCGCTTTAGTCAGGCATGTTTCATGAACAGCCAAGTGAATCCTTAGTCAATTTATAACCCTTATTTTCAGTCATCAGTTAGCGGGTTATCTAGTCTGTACGTAATAACAATTATAGTAATCAACAAAAAAATTAATAAGTTGTATTTGTTTTCATTTTAAGGTTGATAAGTGTAGTTCCTCTGTTTTTTTGTGTGTTATTCTTGTCCTTATCATTACTATTTATTATTAGCGATATCCCTCATAATCCCTATTTAACTTCTTGTACTCTTCCTGATTCAATGCATTGTCTGAGTGTCATTACCAACTTACTAGTTTTTCAAACACATACACAACGATATTTCGAAAAGTTTATCTTCATTTTTCTGCTGAATAAATATCGAAATTAACTTTCTTAAAGTGCATCTATTGATCAGAAGGGACTGTTTTTTACGTTATATTGTCTGCATGTGCCTATTTATTGTGATTTATCAAAAAGGGGCTGTTCACGTGCTATGCGTGTGATGTATATATATGTACACGTGCTAAATTCTATTGCGTAATTATTGATTTCAACTATTGTCACACTTTTTCGTACATATTTTTCTCGAAATTTTACTTTCTTATTCATAAATATCTTGTTAGTCTGTCGTAACGTTTTAAAACTGTATGCCTTTATAATTATGAAAGGCTCAAACTTCCCCAAACATATGAAGTCACTTCGTTTTTGAACGATATTCGACAAAGACTGGGTATATATTCAATTCCTAGGTGTTTTCTAGAATGTATAGTGGACGTCTACCGTATCAAATTGACATTTATCCACCCATTTCTTCGTCATACTTTGATTTAAGTGTATCTATTTTCATACACTAAACTGCATATCCTCCCTGTTTATTAAAAAGTTATACTTTGTCCAGTCATTCATCTAGTCGGAACATAAATTTAGTTGGCGCTAAATTCTTAAGTCGAATCATGTACTTAGACAATACAGTTCTTCTAGCTTATTATGCTAGAATTATACAATCTTCTAAGCATCATGTTTTAAAATTTAAGTGTTTTGGCTATGATTATTACTTTCTAAATGCAATACTTCTTCAGATCTGATTTGTTGCAAACTAGCCTAATAATTGTGAGGAAGTGATTATATCCTTATTATTATTATTATTGTTATTATTATTATGACTGATGATTATCATTGTTACTTATTATTATTATTATTATTATTATTATATGATTATGATTATTACTGGAACATAAGCATGGTATAGCAAGGGCACCAAGAAAAATGCACTACATAAAATAATATAACAACATTATGAGGACAAAGCGAAAGGAAGTGGATAAGTAAGAAAGAAAAACAATGGGAATAGGATGATTAGAAGGACAGTTCAGTAAGATACATTCACAACAAAAAATTCACTACTTTTCAGCAGCAGAAGATAGGAGGAAGCTACGACATGACTGCCATTAGTTCCGATTCTGAGGCATGTTTAATAAATTCTCAAAACACTGACTCGTGTGATATCTCGGACCCCACCCAGGGGGTCGTGGTTCACCAGGAAATGCTAACCGGATACAACTATTCTTCATCCCACGGCGCAACGTCATACACTGACCACCTACTCGCTTCTTCTTCCATCAAGTCATAGGGCTAGCAAACAATGAACGGTATGGAAGCCGTTGGGACGACATGCGTAACGTATGTCCAAGCCACCGAAGCCGGTGTTTCCAGATGACTTCACTTATTAAATGGCGATCTCTATCATGCCAAAACACACACTGTCGTACCTTAGGATTACTTACATAGTGTTGCCACCAGATATAAGCAATCCTACGGCGACAACAATGATGGAACACAGATTCGTCGCACATTCTCAGCTCGGACCGGTCAGGTTTCACAGGTATATAACAGAACTGCTCACACTTAAAGCGTTTTAAAATCGATGGTCAGACCAATGTCGCGAAGGCGCCAAAAGTGGCCCAGATGGGCGTATGCCACTCTGGCTTTCGATACACAGTTAAACGTTTCATCACACACCACCAACACTCACACAATTACCCAGGTACACGAAGTTTTCGACTACTTCTGACAGCTCCTCCGAGTATGAGCGCAGGCACACGCTGCTGCCAATCTTGCAAAAGTATTCCTGACTTCAATGATGCAGAGCACATACCATATTTACGGGCACTAGTCGCCAACTGACTAAGTACGATTTGAGTAGCCAGTGTGTTATCGCTCAGTAAGACAATATCGTCTGCATATTCAAAGTCGAATACCCGTTTTCCAGGTAGTAGGTCTACACTACCATCGAACGCCTCCTTCAGAGCTGTCTCAGAAATGTCATCGATAGCAAACTTAAAGAGGAATGGAGAGATCAGGCAGCCCTGCCCAATCTACTCCTAGTTTGTAAAAGTGGAGACAGGTGGCTGTGTATCCTCACTCTAGCTGAGGTGCTACTATATAAGACTTTCAAGATGTTAATAAATTTCTCAAGCATGCCCCTCTCCAACAGGCAATTCTAGAGTGCAGCTCTGTCCAACGAATTGAAGGTAGCCCTAATGTCTAGAAGCACAGCGATTGTTGACCTGCAATACGTGTGGCGATGTCCAAGTATCTGGCGAAGGGTAAACACCTGACCAATGCATTTACGATCTAAACGAAACCCGACCTGCTCCCCGCGAATCATTTTCTCACGCTTTTTGCAAAGTCTGCGAAGTGTGTCAGCAGCCAATATTTTCGACGCAACTGGTAAAACTAATACCCAGATGACTGTCATACACATTACGTAGACCGGTTTTAAAGATGGGCACAACGATGACTTCATTCCAGAGTGATGAAACACTCAGTCTGCCATACACTCTCAATCTAGTCAGTTCCATGACTAGAGTCGTTCCTCCATGCTTGAAAAGAGTCAGGGGTAAATTGTCCGGGCCGGGTGCCTTGTGATTTTTCAGAACTTGGAGTCTCTTAAGGACCCTCACTTCGTTAGGTGGGTTAGTGTTAAATGACCATGGGGCACGAAACGCTGGAACTGAAGATGCTGGAGCCGTGGATCAGCTGGACTGCTTTCCCAAGTGCTCCGCCCAGCGTTCCAAACATCTTTGAAGATTGTTTATCGGTGTACCACCTACCTCACAAACTGTCTCACTGACAGCAGGATTTTTGTTATCAGTGACTTGGGTGAGCTGAAACGGCTTCCAACTACTGCCAGATGCAGCTGCTGCTTCCATTTCACTCGCGCGTTCTAACCACCAAGCCTCATGGTCCTCACGTAAGCATTGTGTAGTCTTTCGCGTAAGAAACCCACGCAAACTACTGCACTCGATATCCACTGGAATGGTCCGACGGGTGTCAAGAAGTTGCAGGAAGCTCAGAGAGACCCAGTGTATATTAGCGGGACGTTCTTCCAAACCGCAGGTGGCTTTGCCCTCCATTTGCATGGCATCTTTCGAGTGGGGTCAATGCTTATCTTTACCCTAGAGGATCGGTAGCTAGCCTTAAATCCAGCTCGGATTGGTATTTAGCTGAAATGATAAATGCGATTAATTTGCTTGCACCGACCTATTCTGGGCGACGATTTTGATGACAACTAAAACGCAAGATGAGCTTAGCATACACCAAAGCATGACTAGAGTCCAGACAGGTACTCCATATGGAGCGGAAGTCCTATATGTACCCACGCCATCGGTAGCCGATCGCAACATGATCTGTTTGAGTCCAGGCTTGAGTGGGAGAGGGATGTCGCCAAGTAGCACAAAGGCATTGGCTGTGCCAGGAGTTGGTGCTGGCTAAAAATAGGTTGTGATCTGCGTAAAGCTGTAGAGGACGATCCCCATTATCCAACCTGCGGCCAACTTGTCTCCGTTTGGCACCTAGACGACTCTCCTCTGAGTCTAGACATCCAACCTGCGCATTCAAGTCTCCATCTAGCACTACGATATCTGTCAAGCGCACTTGGTTGAGTAGGTCACTCAGTTGATGGTAAAATATATCCGGTATGCGTCCGGGCTGAAATCCATCGGAGCATAGGCAGGCGCACAGACCGAAGCAGATGGTTGTGAAGCAACATCAAGAGTTGCATTGCCACAGTTGCTGGTGACCAAACTAGGTTGATACACCATTCGTTTCATCGGGAATCTGGAGCCCATGAGCACCATTTGTTTCCAACTCCCCTAGGTAGACCCTCAGTACCCACCAACCCAGTCATTAGGGCTGAACATTCGTTTCCACCCTTTCACTTCTATGGAAAACACCACAGCCACATGAAGGCAGTGAATGGGACTTTCGTGACAGAGACTGTGAACGCACACCAGAGCATTTGGAGGCAGTAGCGAACGTGTCATACCTCTAGAGAGAGGGAATAGAAAGTGGTTGAATGTGCAATAGATGCATCAATCCTAGAGTAACGGTCGTGGATAAATTTCCGATCTTTAGGCAGAAATGTCGATGAACACAAGTGTGTTTTGTCTGTGACACCCGAAAAATACCTGATTTTTTTTCCAACAACCAGTTATCTAACTCATCTGTGCACTTTTATAAATATAAAATTGTTGGATTTTGTAGTCAAAGAAATGCAAATCTAGAAGTATTCAACCTACATGGCTGTGTCTTGAGTTTGACAAAGTTTGCAAGTAAGCAGCGTTGTTATCTGATAAAAGGCTGTAAATAAAAGAAGTGTTTCGCATAAAGGTTTTAACATCCCATATAGTTAGTTGGACGTAATTGACATCGATTCTAATACAGGATGAGGTAGTTAATACGGTGGAAGTAGATTTTGGGTGGTTATATCGAAAATAGGCCAGGTCTTCAAAATCGTTGACTCTCTTCTGTCTCAATTGTTTGGTTAAGTGTATTTTTTGTCCCCTTTTCTATTTTCATTTTCTGTTGCTTTATTATTGTGACTCCGTTTTATTTTATTCTTCTCTTATGTTCAGTAAATATGCTATTTTAAAGTATAAAAATTTGAGATACGTTCGTTTATTTTGTAGGGCAAATGTGCTATAATTCTTAATTGGCCTGATACTGTACAAAGATAAAGTATTATTTTCACATTAGTAAAATATTTGTGGTCGTTCTTATTGAATCGTTGTAGGAGTTCGTCAGGTAACATAAAGAAGCTGCTAACAACCGTAAGGCTCATTGTTCAAAATCGATCACGGTGGGAAGTGTAGTAACCCGGACCGACACACATTTACTACCTATCCGTTGTTATTTATGTAGTTTATTTTCTGACTCATGTCAGTGTTTTGTTTTACTAAAATGCTTGCAATCGCTAAAAAGTTTATTCATTTCATCATAGAGATCGGACGTGTACATATTTAAAAATCGATGGAATTAAAAATCATTATTCATTTTAATGACTGAAATTCCGTGAGAGGAGGACATTTTTCCTTTTGATCTCGACTTTTACGAATCCTATCCATTTCGTCTAACTCCAAAAATGACTGATATAAGTAAACAACTGAATACCTAGAATTAATCTGCTGTGAACTGTAAGTTTCAGTGTTACAAATATTTAGGGTTTAAAATGAAGAAAAATGAAAATATAAATATGCTATCTTATTTCAGAAAAACTAGAAAGTCCAAGATTTCACTGTAGTGCAACTGAAGAACGAATAGTCATAGCGAGAACTGAAAAGTTAATCTTTTAAATCTTTTTTAGCTATTGGTGGCTTCCACTTATCAGCTTAGCCACAACACAAAACGAGCAGAAAACTGTTTATTTTAACCGCAAAAGATAAAATAGGAGTATACTGTCGTCGTCAACATATGCCAATCATATCTTCAAACCAAGAAGAGCTTAATAAGAAAACGATGAAGTTAGGAGTATTATACTCACACAACTGAGTAGTTTCAGATCTCTCTCAATTTCTTGTTAACTTAAGTGGTCACCATCCGTTTAATAACAGACAGGTATAAATGTGAATGATAAGAACCTTCATTTCTGAAATAGGATCATAGAAAAGAGTATAACGTACGGGTATTGCTGAGCAGTAGGTAAATGATGCAAAGATTTTTGAAATGATTTTTATAGGAAAGATCACAATGGTTGGCCAACTAGTGTGTATATATTTCGAGCAGTAAAGTTGTATGAAAATGTTGTAACATTTGTTAATACCACCATCGAAGTCGCATGAACTAGACACCGTCATGTGAATCTGACTTTTTACAAAAGTCTGTGTCACATTTGCTTGTAAATCTAAATGAAATACTACTTAACTTTAAATAGTTCAGTGACGTGTCAGTAATTTATTGCCGAAGATTCACTAGAAATGATATTTTTGTATTCCAGGCGTTAAAAGAATTCATAACTGATCCATGTATGATAGAAAAGTAATAGTGCTTCCAGGTTTGCTGAAATTCTTATTTGTTTATCGCTAGTGAATTGGGTGAACATATGCTTTACAGCTAAATATCGTCTTTGCCAGCATTTAACGGTTTGACCAGCATAGAAAACTACTGATAGTGCGTTTCCTGACATTCTTCTAGGAATTTTACTAGTCGTCATTCCTATTGCTTTTCATCTCTAATTCCTGCAAAATTTACCTCACTTGGTAACGTTATTATGAAGTGACGATATATTTATTTTGCTGTGTACCAATAAACTATCCATACTCTTCACGTTCGTCGTTTGAATTTATCATCACAAATGACCACTTTATTTTTATTGGTATCATAAAGTAGATATTAAGAAATTTCATTTATAATTACCCTAAATTATTTATCCTATCTCGTTTACAAATGTTGGTCTTATAAATAGATGTTCACCTCAGGATAGTTAATAAGATGTACCTCAAGTCTTCAAAGTATAAATCTAACAGGGTACTTCCATATGGAGTTGTGATGTGGTGGTTTAGGGTGTTGACTTCCAACCAGTCGTTCGCAGATTCAAACATCGTTTCCCCTGCCGAGGTGGTTTGCGAAGCCAGGGAATACCATTAATCCTCACAATAAATTTGGCTCGTTGTCTGTTACACAAATATGCACAAGGTTGCTGAGTGGATTTCAAGTTAACTTTGACGTTTCACTACCGATTGTTTTTTTCTGTTAGCTTGATCTAGACCTTTTTAATCCAACTCTGACATTTACAGCTCGGGTGCTTGAGATATCATCAAAGCTAAAACTCATCACTATGTTTAAACATTTATTACAAGTTTAGTTGTCATGCCCTTGCACTAAAACTCTATATCTGTGTTATGCAGCTATACAGTTTGTGCTACTTGCAAGTAGTTAGATGTAAAGATGGAAATTCCGTTCAAATAATCTAATGAAGTTAAAGTTTTTCGTAAATTGCTTCTTTATTCACTCTATTATCCAGCATTGTTTTCGAAGTTGGTTTGTGTTTCACTTCTAACCACATACTATTGTTTAACCATTTTAAGTGGGGGAATAAAGGAAAAGCCACTAAATATTGGAAAATAAATACATACTTCCAAATTACTGTTCGAATTTCGCGCAAATCATATTTTCCTCCAAATCTAATCTTATTTTGTTTTGTACAATATTGTTTAAACTCCCTTTTATTGTATATTGTTAAAATTTATCTAATACTGTCGATTTCATCCGCTTTTCAATAGGATTCTTCGTCAATTCGTTGTAGCCAGTGTAATGAATAAGCTGGTTGTTGGGAATAGCTGTGTTCTTCGTCCACGGTGAGTAGATGTGGGCTTTGATGTACTCTGTTGTGTTTTCATTTCTTCTAAATTTATTTACTAAATAGTTATTGTTGTCTAATTTTCATAGTTGTAAGCTTCTGCTTCCACCTTAGTAATATAATCGTTAACATTGTTGTTTTTTTTCCACAGTAACAAGTGTTTATAAAAATGCATCACTGATTCACTGTTATTGTTTTTGCATAAATGCGTTTAAGTTGTAGTTGCTTCATAGTAAAACTGCAATAATGGATATTTACTTTGATCAGAAAATAAGTTATCCCTAACATCTATCAATCTTATAGTAAATAAAGAGCACGTTGTTGGTAATCACTGATTCCAACCGCAGTTACACACGTGGTTGCAGTTTCGGGGAACCTAAAACATGCGAAAGATTTTCTTATGTGGTCAATTTTGTTTGGTAATTAGTAATTGCGTATGTTTCCACGTTTAATTGGTCTGTTTGACACTGTGATATAATATTATTTGCTTGGTGATATTTTCTGTAGGATCTATAGGCAATAAATTGTGTACAAATCCATCATCTAGTAAATAATACTGTATCATTGTATGCTATAGAAGAAATGAGTCGAATATGGAAATTAATCCCACTTCAGTGACTAAATCTGACTATTGTACTAGGGGTCATATATCTTTGATTTTAGGGGTAAGTATTTAAGTCAGATAAATTCATCCGTTTTAGGGGGTATAAGGAAGTCTATCAAGTGACCAATTTGCAAGCGCTCAAGATAATGAAAGCTTCTTGCACAAACTTTTAATGATAGTACAGTAATACAATTCAGCTCTGCGCCATGCGACACTTGTTTTTTGTTTATTAACAATGCGCATCGATTACTCCACTAAGGTAGTTGGAGTTGGTTATAAATTTCGTTTATCAAAGTCGAGTATCTCAGCAACTAAATCTCAGTACCAACAAAAGAGATTGCTACTTGATATGTATTTATACTTAAATTATATTCTACTATTTAGAAAATTCACTACAGTAAATAATTGCTGTATCAATGAGGAGAAACGAAATACAACATTAATAGCATTTATACTGTTTTTAGTTGTTATGATAATGCTTTCAAAGGAAATATTTTACATACTTTACATTTCATAAAGGTTGTATATCTTTACCGATCATCTGTCCCACAGTTGAGCCAATATGATATTAAAACTGACTGCTCATAAGTCCATATAATCTTAGTAATAATCATGCAATGGTTATATTATTCTTTGCTACCGCCATTTGCTTTACATTGTCATTCATTCATATTTTCATCATCAATTTTATTAGTTTACTCACTTTATTTCCTTTTTTATATGTATAATATAACAATGTGTTGCATTATCCTTACACTTCAGCCTGCTTGATTCACTTAGTCGTTTAAAACAATGGTCTATGACAAACATCAATGTATGCATTGATTTATTCAGTTTAGTCAACAGTTTGGTTCGAGATTGTTCTTCGTTATCAGAAGATATTCTTCATCATTCGGAACTGTTGAATGATTTTATAAACCGTAAGCTATTTTTATTAATAATAACAATGATAGTAATGGTGGTCTTTATGATTATGAGGAACTTATTCAGATAGGTACTAATTATTGCAACATTAGAAATGTTTTACAACTTTAAAGATATTTCTGATTAGATTTTCCAGTGAAAGTTGAACTGCACAATGAAATAGCCAATAAGATGCATAGAAGTAGAGCAAATGAACCAACAAGGAAGTGTGAATTCAAAATATTTCATAAACATCACTTTTGAGCCATACGCTGTTATCACTATAACTAATTATTTATGATTGGAAATAAACAATACCTACTGCTTATAACGAGCAGGTAATTTCCACTTATTGCACAAACCCATGTAACTTGATTTTCCTGGGAATAATAAATCTCTGTTTGTTGACTTATAGGTGAATTATATCTTTCAACTTTACCTTTAAAACTTTTTTACATTCAAAACTCTGTTTATCATCACATCTGATAAACTTGTGTATACTAAAATGCAGTGAATATTTGCTACTTCTTTCTCAAGTTTAAGCATACTTGACCTCTACATCGATTGAATCCCAAATCTTGTTTGTGCTACCAGTTGAAAATTCACCAATTCTACGGATTCTATCTGTTCTATCAAACTGATATCAGTTTGGGGGCAAAACTGCTTTCGTACTGACCAAGTTTTGCGGAGACCACAAGGCATCTGTTTCAAAGAGTGATAAAAGCGGTAGAAATAGAACGTGATATTGAAGATGTTGTAGCTGTAAATGGAGTGTTTTGGGGGGATTCAAGTGAACGTATGTCTGGGTTAACTGTACAGTTTTTGGTTACTTAAGATCACGAATTTCCTACAACTGACTCCAGTTGGTCACCTAGTTACTATTTATGGTTCAAACCGGATAAAAACAAAAAACCAAACTACAAGCCAAAAAATATTCACACTTGAGAACCCAGGCAACAACAAGAAAAACAAGCATTAACGGATTAGGGCAGTCATTTATATACAACAATTATGATCAAGATAAAATAATTATTATCTGACCTTAAAATAATGAATAGTCAGTTACGCCTAATGTGGAGGTTAGCAAACAGTCAAGAAATTTCTACTGATAAAATCAAGATTGTACATCTATTCGGTGTAACAGAAGCTTTGAACTCGTTTTCGGCTATTGACTATGTTTCTACTTATACATTTTATATAGTTTAGTATTAATTGATTGACTTTAAAAGTCACCTTACAACTGCTGAGATAACCAATTACTTTCCTCTATTCCATGAGGAACTGCCTTCCCAGTCAAAGTTTAGACACCTGATTGGTTATTTTAGCAGTTGCTAGTATGACCTTTAACGTCATCAAATTTGGCTGCTATTCTTTCTGCCGTTGATATTCGTTCATCTACGCCTTTGGGGATTGTAGAAATAGGTGATATTTGATTTTGTCAGTATTGTACTTGGTTACACTGCAGCTGAATACGGTTGTAGCATTAGACTTCTATTTAGATGAAGGGTGAATAGTTTAAAAGTTAACTCATGAGCTTAAGATTTGTAGTTCCATATGACTGTCGTAAAAGTGAGTGTTCACTGATTTCATTGGGTGACAGTTGGATTATTTCACAGACTGAGTAAAATTGACGAAAGACTATTGTATCATCAGCCAAGTGGTGCAATTAAATGTTACCCATAAAATCAAAGGGACTTAAAGTTCATATGGTAGAATTAACAATCTATTCTTCAAAGCAAAGCGAGAGACCTATCAAATACTCTATGGTTCTACAACAAGTTGTTATCTTTTATGGTAGATGTTGCTATCAAACAGGTAAATTTGTAGTTTAATTATCGATACATTAACAGGTAAGAGAAAATACTTTCATAGTACCTATATTATCTTCGGTTTAGTTTACTCGCATTGACAAACGAGTATACAGACACAGACTAACACATTTTATGTGTATTCCCTGCAGTTATACAAAGTATGATAGCAATAACAACCTGTATGGAACAGGAATTATTGATTTACAAACAGAAAAATATCCATAAGTTCCGTTGCTTTGTCCGATACATAATCGATTGTGACAAATAAAACTAAGGAATGATACCCAATTGGTGGTATGCACGTCATAATGTGTATACCAGAAATTGGATATATACGACCATTTTTGTGAAAATGACTTTGAAATTTTGCTTGTCAATGCTATAAGTTACATTTTAAGCTCTTCGTTTTTTGTTCCGGTCGGAGAAATAAAAACTTGCTTCCTTTCAACCTTTCCATATACAAACAAATTCAACGTAGGACGTTGCACATAAGTGCATCGATTCAAGTCGTCATACTTCACAGTAGCATACAAAGAACAGGTGGATAAAATAAGAGTGATATCAAAATTGGCAAAGCTGTATGACAGAATTAGCAATTTGAAGATGAATTTTAGTTCAAATATTCAAGCTTTAGAAGACGTCAAATGAGTGAATCCACCTACGCCATTGTGACTGATATTCAGCTATGTCACTAAGATTCCTCGACCACTTATTCGTATCATCCCGGTGACCCCACCCATGTAGTCTACATCTCCCCGCACGGATCAAACCAAAAGTCAGTGACTTCATCGACTGATGCCATGTCTTTGTTTGGCCACCCTCAACCCTCTTCCAACCTAATCCACCTTCCCACAGCATGGCACGTCGAGGTAGGAGGTGCCTCTACATGCGCAATACATGTCCAGACCATCTCATTCGGTAATAAATGGTGACTAGCAGTTGGATCTAAGGGACACTTTTCGTGTTGTTTGTATGTGACGTATCAATCAGATGTACCCACTTCCAAGCAATTACTGAAGTTGTAACCCAACACTTCAGAGCGTTATGAACTAGGCTACAATAGTTGATGCTTGAAATAATAATTGTGTTATGCATTGAACACGCTACTCCTTCAAGTCAGTGAGTAAATAACAAGTAATCAAATCGAAAATTCACTTGTATGGTTTTTATAACTGTGAAATCAGTCGATAAATGGTTCCACTATATATATATATATATATATATATATATATATATATATATATATATATATATGAGAATCGAAAATGCATTTTTCTTAGCGTAGAATATTGGTCTAAAAACCGATGATTCATGTTTAAGAAAAAAATTATTGGTGAAAAATTCACCAGAAGGTCAAAATCATCTTTTACTCTTATGCTGAACTTCCGAAGCTTGTTACTTTTTCAGTAGATTAAAAATAATCAACTACTTCAACCCAGTTATATACTAATGGTTGTCTTGAATTGTACATAAACCTTGTTTTTAAAGTTTCAACATTATTACAAGTTTATTTCATTGTTTAATGACGAAATGAAATGAAATTAAAGCAGGTAGAGTAGTAAATCATTTCTGTTTCCCCGTAATGTTACACAAAACGGCAGAGAAGTGAGAGTTACTTTTAACATACAACATTTGAGTCGCAGCATCAGAGATGGTTTTCAGTATTTTAATATCATTCGTTAACACTTGTTTCATGATGCGGTAACCTTCGAAGTTCGAAGGGTGTCTATGACGCTTACTGTGATTTACATTGCTCACACAATACAATAGTCAGATTGGTGTATCATTCAAGATATAACGTTACATCCAATGTGATACAGCTCACTGGTATCCCTTAATCGTCTGTTCTATATCTAAAATGATACAAGTTAATGTTTCTCATTGTTTGAGCATACAAGGATGAACATATCACCAAATGAAGTTGTAAGTATTTGTGGCCTAATGCAATTTGATACAATAGAACGTTTTTTGCAATTTGAACAAAGCACAGATAATCAGGAGATGAATATTCTTTATTGCCACAAAATCATTCATGATTCATAAATCCTTTCTTTTAGTGAATGGTTTGATACGATCTGACACTGATCAGATAAAATTGTAACCTCCTAATTGAAATCTGTAGAACGTTGCTTCACTTTGTATGACTGTAAATTATGACTGATGTTGCAGATCAGTATTGAATTGTTCTTTTTTATTCTTTTATTTACTTCATTTCAACTTGTATTTTATTCTGTTAGCATAATAATGCTTTCGATAACATTTTCTTTTATTCTGTGCATCTTTCTCTTTGCTAATTGAATAGTAATCCTAGATGAGAAGACAGATCTTATGGTGCGTGAAGCAGATTTACTATTTCTACGTAGTCTTTTCAGAGCTGAAGATTTGGGCTCAATACTAATACAATCGTCTCGAGAAGAAGTTGCCATTGTAAGTAGTATAACTGTTGTCAGTACTATTCAGTCTATACAATTAAACATGAGTATTTTTTTAATTAAATATTTTAGCGTTCAGGATCTGAATATAGTGTCAATTTTCAGTTAGTCATATAGTGTTAAACTGGAAGTGTACTTTAGGATGAAATTATTAAGAACTAGTTTTAGTGAAGTGAGAAATGGAATTTTAATGCGGAGCTTCCTGATGATTGCTTACAATCACTTAATACAAATTTAAACATCTCCATTAAATATTCAATACATTAAGTATTTAAACGGACAACCATTACTTGATAACTTTCGTTTGACTTTTCATTATTATGCTTATATATGTAAGACGTACATTAATTTTATGTGTTATGAGCATAGAATAGAATGGATCTGAATTTAAAAGGTGGAACACTAGTAGGTTTGAAGCTGATTGTGATTTTCGTACATAAAAACGGCGTTCACTATGATTATTAAAAGGAAAATAAGAATTATGTGTATTTTGGCTCTACAACAAGAATGAATGCCCATATTTCCTAGTAGTTGCTAGCGTTTAAAAATAGAACCTGTGTTGCATTTCGTTTTTGGACTCGAAATCTTCATGTATCTGTTATAATAACCGTTGTTAATCGTGACTCGGAAAATGGTGTGCATACAATTGCATGGGCGAAGGATCCTACGAAACTGATTGTTTCCCAACATATCTAGTTATAGTAGCAATAATGTAGTAGTATTAGGGTGTATAATCATAATATTGATGATGTATGAATAAAGTTATATTATGAAGTGTGAATGTATTATAAAGAAGAAACTGACAAAGATCAATATCAGACTGTCAAATGAATATTCAGCCATAGGAATGACTACGGCTGCAGCATCAGCGTTGGGGAATTAAGCTAAGGAGTTAGTATGAAGTCGTTTCTTGTGTATGTGTAGGCGCCAAAGTCATATGTTCTTGACAAATTACATGAGGCATGACATCACAAAAAAGACTTGATTAAGATATAACCGAACGGCTTCAACACCTTACTCCTTATTATTCAATAATATCTGGCACATGTTCAATACTATTGTGCGATGAAATCTACTGAATACGGTTTGCCTAGTCGATTTCATACAAGCAGTTTAAACTGTCTACGTCATCATTCAAAACATCTTTAATTCTCTGCATTAGTTTGTTTGATCTCTTTGATTTTACGTTTCTGTCTTATTTCTAAAAACAGAAAGCATTCTACTGACGTCTCAAATCAATCTAAAGGTTACAACTGACTCCATCTAAATAAAATTATCTCTCAGTGTCAAACTACTTTCATCGTCATTTGTAGGTTTTTGTTAAATGACTGATTTATTTCGACATTATTTTTTACCTTAAACACCTGTATTATGAAAAATCTACTTCTCAGAATTTATACACATTTCCAAGTGACCAGTTGCTATTCTCAGATGTATACGAAGCTCTAAAACTTTCTCATACTTTGTACACAATTATAACAGTCATTGCTATTATCCAAATAAATCTGAACGTGATCACAGTAAAAAGAAACGAAGTGAAAATTAGATTACTTTAATATTCAGTACATCGTTATTTTTTACTTACCCTCAGATTCGGTACCTATTATGCTTGTTTAAATGATTGCACCCTTAAGTTCGACATCAGTTATTACACTTGTATATTTAGTTATAAAATAAAAAATAGAAATGTGGAGGTTTTTGGGGATTTCTTTATTAATTTCACTTTGATATTCACCGTGGACTGACATCAGTTGGAGAATCATTGGAAGTCTGGGAGCACTGGACAGCTATTTCGTCATAGTGTGAGACTACTCCGTAGTGCATTCCCATGGCCATGAATTCCTACCCAGTGGCTAAATGGTAACGTAGTAACCGTGGAATGTAAAGGTCCTTGGTTGGGTCAGATGTGTTTACTGCCGGGGACTCTCATACTGGGATGAAACAGCTATCCACTACTTCCAGATTCCCAATGTTTCTGCAACTGATGTCACTTCATGGTGAATACCAACCTGAAATCAATCAATAAATCCCCACAAACTCCTAAATTGAATTGATCACTTTTTATTCACTTGTCGTCTGTTTTCATAAATAAAACTTGTTAACTCTCGTAACCATTGTTTCTAACATTCGCGTAGCTGTTTGGTTCAGTTTTCATTTTCCTATTAGTGCGCGCTTATTATGAAGGTTTAGCATATTGGATAGATTGTTGTTTGCAAACTGCCGTTACAAAGAAGTTGATTGTGAAAAAGTATAATAACAATTTTTTGTATTCAGTCACTTAAAATCAAATCTTCCTTCTTCATTTTCAGCAACTATTTACAGTGGAAACGTTGGAAGTATTGATCAATTCACTCTTAGTTAATCCACCTGAAATAGTCTCTGATGTCAACAGCAGCAATTCAGCTGTAAGATCTAAACAATCCAAAAAAATGCCGTTGCTGGTATTGACACAAAATGCTAGATGTTCGTTATTTGAAATTCTCTCTGTATTGTCTACAAGTGCTGAATTAGCTGAACGCTTACATTTCTGTGGAGCCTTAAAATTATGTCATCAAACCATTATGTTGATTTCATGTAGACATCGTCTTTGGTCAAGTGATCAACCAAGATCCTGTTCTATGGATCGAGGAAAAACGTTGTGTAATCGTGTTGGTTGTAATCGTACAATTAGTCCGAGTAATCACCTGGTATGTTTGTATCTTATTGATTTTTTCCTATCGTATGTTGATTGTATTGTTATTATCATTACCTCTATTGCACATATAAGCACAAATGGAGTGGGTTATTAACAGTGTAGCACGAAATGAAGTCTAATAGTCAAAGTTGGAAATTACCGGCAAGTTTTCTCACAGTCCATATATCAAATGACTTTTAATCCTCTTGCATTCTGTTTCACTAATAAAAAACTACTAACAGTTTTTTTGCTTTATTTCTTGATAGTTGGTCAGTTTTTTGGAAGTGGAAGGAGTCAAAAGAATGTTATTCGATGGGTATTCACGTAAAAAATTATCTTTATATACCTATGACTGAATAGTGTTATTACGAAGTTACGAAATATGTTTAGAAAGATGTAATAGTAGTGTGTGTGTGTGTGTGGGAGGGGGAGAGAATAATCTCCTAAAGATACGTGAATATTTCTTCTGATCGAAAATATTTAAGCTGTTGAATGTTCTATCCACTTTAAAGTCTGAAGTTGCAATTATTTTTACGTGTCTTTCTTGCATCAGTACAACTTCGTTATTCTTACCTTCTCACTGTTCTTCGTCATTTCACTGTGGTGTCATGCTTAAAGTTTGGGTTATCAAAAATATTTGATGGAATATATTTCATGAAATGGCCCCTTTTTTTGACTTGTTTTATCCATTCAAATGTCAACTAATCGTAAAACACTCTCGCGCATTAAAATGTCTTCAACCTATCGTTAGATATGTTAACAACAAAACTGCGAGAAAATATCACAGTAGACTGCAGTTGGCCTCTGAATGCACAACAATGCTGTTACAGGAACACGTAGTTGGAATAGGAAATTCCTACACTGGATGAATTAACTGCGTCCACCAAACTTGTGAATGCTTTTCTATCCGACCTCCGTGCAACAACATACAAACTCAATGATGACTTAAAAACTACCGGTTGTTATGCCTTACTGTGTGTCATACAACTATTATTAACATTATTTAACTACTGTGGTTATTTCACTTGAAAGTATTGTACGAGCAGTAAATTTGTTGAAATGTCACGCTGAGAATTTTGAACTGTGCTCAAAGTTATTATCTGGAATAAAGGGATTGTTATTGTTATTATTCGTAGTCATATTAGGCTTTTATATCTTGTTGAATAATGAGACTTTTGTGCTACTTTACCATGAATAAACCTCAGCTGTTTCTGCTGCATGAAATAACTTATAGACAGACCTCTTACATTTTTATCTAAATTTTTGTAATGAAAAATTAACAGTTTTTAAGGTCCAGTCACAATGGCCAAAAAGTAATTGAAAAAATATTGCCTTTTCTAATGAGTTGTATTGTATATAATGCCACTCAAATTAGTAATGAGTACATTAAACGATGAATCGTATATGAAACGTGAATCTAATTACCCACACTTTATATGAACTATGATCAAGATTTGACCGAATAGTATTCGCAAATATTGGGAAGTTAATTGTAGTTCGAATTTGTGTAAGTCACAGCGTGTTTGAAACGAAATAATTCCAACGTTTAGCAAGTAAGTCTGGTCCGTGTTTGTTTAGAAAAATAAAAACATTTCATGAAGTTTGTCACTGCATCTCTTACTTTACGTATTGTGGCTTGTATTCTGCTATAATTACCGTGAGGAGTAAAGCTAATAATATTGTTCGCATAATTATCCTACAGATTTTCCTCATTCCAGTCATTTTGATAACTTGTACCATTAAGGGTGATAGCTGTTACCTTGACGTGGTAATCGGGCTTACATATCACAATAACCCAACTAGCTATACTGACTGGAACGCTTGTTCCCTGGAGATCCTACTGTGCCAGAAAGGTCTGTTGGATAGTGACAAAACGAAGAGCAGTCACCGTTGTAGTCCAAATTACTACACCATGATGGGGTCTGAGGGCGGAGTCATACTGCTGACTGGACGGGGGTGTGACAGCAGTAAGGTGTTTCCATTGGATGACCAGCAGTTTCACATTGATGCTTCCTTCCCAGTGGAAGGGAAGGTTGGCTAGGAAAGGTCGGCCCCCAAAATAACACACCACTTGCCCAACTGTTTTCCGGTCCCACCGGTGTGGGTTCTGTCTATCTGGTGTTAGAACAACCAAACCTCAAAACAAAATCCCACAAAAGGCCGTGTATGATAGGCCTCAAGCAGATATCCCATGGACCCTGTGTTCACACACTATCTCTCCTTTTCAGATACCTCAAGAAGAAATAGCCTTCCACGGTGGCATCCTGGAAGAATCAACCACCCACATGCTTTTAGTAGTATCCAAGACTCAGTCAAACATAAGCTATCTTCCTGAACTGTTTCATCCTTTGCTTTCACCTCTTGGTACCAATATTAAGCCTCTTACACCTTTCTCAACATCACTCTGCGACCGTCGCCAACCATTGAAGTCATCGTAACCTCATTCATAATCTTCTAAGAAACAAGCATCCATTTCATGTAGCAGCTCTTAACGTCCGAACTGTATGCTAAATCGGATGGCAAGCATCGCTCACCGAAACTCTGAAATCTCTAGCCATGGATGTATGCTTTGTCTATGAGACACATATACAGAACGCGAACGATTATTAGATTGGTCTCATCTGGGTATAGTAGGGAATCTTTAAAATTCATCTTACGAGTTTCCGAATACTCAATGGCTGCCTCTCGTGGACTCTCTGCTATAGGCGTAGCATTGAGTTGTAGAGCCGAAGGTGCACTTCTCGAATGGCTACTAGTGAAACAGTCGTGGTTGTGGTATTTGACTGAATGGATCTGTAAGGATAAGGAAGGACCCTATGACTAGACGATATCTGTTCGTAATCACCTACGCACCCACTGTCTACAGTTCGGATGGTACAAAGGATGAACTCTCTGACAAGTTCTCAATTCAGCTACGGAAAGCAAAACGTTTAAATGTAGTCATGATGATAGGTGATTTTAACGCTCAAGTGCGGAAGCTGAGGCAATCGGAAAGGCATCGTGGAGTTATCTACGGAATGCCATGCCAACGAATTTACAACGGTCATCGTGTGTTGGAATTTTGCCCCGACAATCACCTGGTTCTGATCAGAACTAACTTCAAGCATAAGGAGAGACACTCTCTCACCTGGAGTGCGTCGACATCCAACCAACAATGGACACAGATAGATCACATTGCTAACAACCGTCTTTGGAGAGGATCGGTGCAGGATTGTCACTCTTTATGGACTCCGATCACGCAGTAGAACGGGCTCGTGTAAGTCTGCGCCCTACTGGCCTTAGGAAACAGGAGTCAGTGGGGGGCATTTGTACTCGACTAGTAGGTGAGGACGCGAAGTACGCGTTTAGGGGAGAGATAGCTACGGACTAAGCTAAGCACTGCTTATCCCGAGAAAACCTAGTGTGCTCTTCAGTTTGCTGTCGAAACAGCGGTAAAGACAATTGGTAACCTCCACTGAAAAGTTGGCAACGGTCACTGGATTTTCACGACGTCATTAGAACTGGTTGATGCGAGAAAACTGATTCCAGCTGACTCTGACCATGATGAAGAGCGAAAGCAACTCAAACATAAGTTGACCTGGAGTCTTCGCGTCGATCGCGAGCAGTGATGGGTGGTAAAAGCGAAAGAGATGGAGGAGGCGTCAGCGTTGGGGAAACACTCGACAGCTATTTAGGCTTATTTAGGATGCGGGCAAGAAGAAGACGATAGCTAGTGAAACCATCACCGAAAAGGATGGAACACTGATAACATCCCAGGACAGGCGACTAGAACGTTTTGGGTAACGCTTTGAAGCACAGTTGGACTGGACCTCAGCAACTCTTCAGTTGCCCAACATCTAGTCAGAACCTGAATGGGACGTATATGTCGGTCGTCCAACTCTTCTTGAAGTTGAGAAGGTTGTATCAAACCTGAAACGATGAAAAGCAGCAGGACCTGAGGGTTTGGCACCTGAAGTTTTCATGGATGGAGGTAGTAAGTTGTTGATTGAAGTGACGGTAGTACTAGGCAGTGTATGGTAACTAGAGGTAGTGTCGTCAGACCGGTCTACTTCACTGACTATCCTAGTCTATAGAAAGAGGAGAAATCTTGTGACAACTAAAGGAGAATTAGTTTTACTAATATTGTGTCCAAGTTCCTTGGATTCATTGTTATCCGACGCCTGGCCGAAGTTCGAGGATAGTAAAACTCAAGAAAACTAGGGAGGTTCCAGATATGTGCGAGGGTACATCGGTCGTATTCTTAGCCTCCGATAGGTTATGGAACACCACTATACCTACAGGCGGCCAAACCTTGCCGTATTCATCGACCTGAGCGCCGCATTTGGCTCTGATGACCATGAGGTGTTGTGGTAGTGTCTAACTTCGAATGGAGTATAGAGCAATTATATGACGCTAATCAAAGCTCTGTTCTCGAACTCACAGGGATTGTGAAGAGTTGTCATCAGAATTGAAGACAAATAGTGGTGTTTGCTACTTATTGTCTACTGCCGCCGTTCCTATTTAACTTCGTCATAGACGTACCAATGGACACAACTGTAGGTACGTCTGACAACAGGGATTGACCTACTCCCTGGAAGTCATTCGATTGGTTTGGAGAATGGAGACGAACTTATCCTGCTAGGTGAAGACACTGACAAAATGCAGAGTCTTCTGGGCATATTGAGCAAAGATCTGAGTATTTTCGGCATACGTTTCACCGGCACCTGTCAAACGTAAGATTATACTGCAGGACTGGTCTGCTGCAAGTTCTCCCAATTCAGTGATAGGGAGTGAAGTGGTGGAATGTGTCAACCACTTCAGTTGCTTTGCGAGTTGCATTAGCCTGAACGGGCTGGTTGCTGACGACATCTCACCTTGGATACAGAAAGTCCGTCTGGTATTTTCCAACCTACGTCACCTGTAGCGCTGACTGGGGATACATCCGACTATCTATCAAAGGAGGACTAGTATATTGTGCTGCAGTCCTTTTTGTCGCGTCATATGGCTGTGTAAGACAGGGCTGTTGAACGTCGGTGACATGAAGCGGTTGGAGCGTATTGATCACAGGTGTCTTCTTAGCATTTCTCGCGTTTAGTGGCGGTAAGATCAGTAGAAGGGTACTAGATAAGATAGGGAAGTCGGTTGATGATGAGGTTGTGAACCTCAGTCGACTGAGATAACCTGGATATGTACTGCTTATGCGGAGCCACCGCCTTCATGGACGTGCCATACTATGGGAAGGTGGATTAGGTTGAAAGAGGATTCAATGTGGTCGGACTAAGATGTGTTATCAGCCAATGAAGCCCCTGACCTTTGGTCTGATCCATGTGAGGAGATGTAGACTACCTGACTGGGGATCCCAAGACAAAGTGTAGCAACTTGAATCGATGCAACTGTGTGAGAGGTTCTATTTTGGTTTTGCCAGTCACAGTGTTAGTAAGACATTAGTACTAACTGTGTATTAAAAAGACGTCTATTTTTATTCGACACTGGTATTTTGTGAACATCCACGAATAATAAACTATGTATGCATAGTATTATCTTATTGCACACTGACTTAAATTATGCTCAGGGGTAATGTATTTCTCTCAGGCAAAAGTATTGTTGTTATGCAAGTTAATAAGGAGAGTTTTGATTGCTAGCACTTTCTATAAATCTAACCATTAAACCGCTTATGTCATAGACATGCTACTGTTCCATTCATTTTTTCACTTATTTAGGCTGCTAGATTTTCATTGAAGTTGATGTTGCATTTATTTTTCCACCTACCGAATATACTGGATTCCTTTAAAAAGAGTAAGTATTTGTTGTGTACCTTTTTATTGATGTATTAATTCACTAGATTTTTTCCTATTCATATAAACATTATCGCATACAAATTTGTTATTTAACCAGTGTTTGCTGCTTTCTGCCGCAGTTGATTTCACTAGATGGGACCTATTCAATGTTCATGGAGCTGTGTCCCATTGTCTTGACTTGGAAGCAACGGGTATCAAGTTCAAATTCAGCTCTGTCTATTTCGGCTTTAGAAACTGAGTAGACATTGATCACCTTATATCAACTGTGACTCATAGCCTAGTACATGATCCTCCACCGTTTAATTACTTCATTATTAATTTTCTTAAATATTTATAATGTCATTGTTCGACTGTTAATTTGATACGGCACACAGTGATACAGCATTATTTACCGCATGACATTTTGAGCAGAATTTATTGTTCATATTCATATCAAAGTAATCAAACAGTTCAACAGTTCATTCGGTTATTTTAATGGTAATAAGATTTTCCATATATCTCCGATATGCGATGAGTCATTCCTATCACATATGTTAGATGTTGATTCAATGAACGAAGGTTCTGTGAACAATCTCTCCCTCTGCCTATAGTGTGATTGTAGGTCAGCGTATGTAGAGAGAGAGCCGAGCCTTTTTCGAAATTACTCATCTTAGTAGGGTTTACTATTGTGTGTTTTGCTAAATGTTTGTGTTCTGCTATTCTGATTCATCCAGATCGGCTACTTTGACCTCTATACTTGACCTAATAATTATTACATAATATTTGATACATTACGTTATTTTTCTTAATTGGCTCTACTAGATCTTTTAGCTTGCAGAGTTTCTCTCTGAGCTCGTTTGTGCGTTTAAATCCCGTCTTAATCTCATAATTTTTAGGAATTTGTGCTGACCTACAATCACACTATAGGGTGACAATTATAAAATCCAATATATTCTAGGCAGAGGGAGAGATTGTTCACAGAACCTTCGTTCATTGAATCAACATCTAACATATGTGATAGGAATGACTCATCGCATATCGGAGATATATGGAAAATCTTATTACCATTAAAATAACCGAATGAACTGTTGAACTGTTTGATTACTTTGATATGAATATGAACAATAAATTCTGCTCAAAATGTCATGCGGTAAATAATGCTGTATCACTATGTGCCATATCAAATTAAAAATCTGATATGGAATTATATTCCACCACAATGCTGAAGTTTTACATTTTAAATGTTGTGGTTTTTCTGTATGACGAAATATACCCATTTATTCATTGACGAGAACTAGGCATGTATCAGCGAAGAAATATTTCTTTTCGACGACTTTTTTTCTTCACATCTCTTCTTTATCACATTTGATACATAAGATTCAAATGAATCCCGCTCTTCACTTGTTAGCTCGAAAATAAAATGCTCTCGCTGGGAAATATTTCTTCCCAGTTCAGGAAGGCGTACACGGATGCCATCATTAAGATTTAGAGCATGTCGCTTTAACGTACGACCATCAGGATAAATACGATTACACAACTCAAAGCTTTCCAGAAATATTTTGGGTATTCATGTTTCACAATACAACTGTTTAGTATATCGATCTTCGCATTCGCTTGCGCAAGTTTGACAGAATAACGAAGAAACTCACTGAGTCCCTTCACTGTCATTGGGTCCTTGCACTCTTTCAACTGACGAAATATGCCCATTTATTCATTAACAAGAACAAGGCATGTATCAGCGAAGAAATATTTCTTTTCAACAAAAATATTTCTTCGCAGATATATGCCTTGTTTTTCTATATGCCTACGATTCTTATTGTGAATTTGTATATAAATCTTTTACTGTCCCACTAGAAGTGAATTGTTATAGGTTGATTTTAGCCTGCTTTCTGTTCGATTTCTAGATGGCAGTTAAATTAACTGAAGGTGTTCACGACGTGTATTTCTTTAATAATCTGTAGCATACATTTGATAATGTTCAGTTAGTGTTGATCACTATTTTCTTTTCTTGTTTTTAATTGCTCCTTAGTTTGCTTGTCCATTACTTGTTTTGTCTAACTTACTTTACCTCAAAATAAACCTTAGAAATGTTTTCTGTATTCATCAGTCAATAATTCTTTCTACTATATAACATTTGATCTCTTTTATTCACTATCACTACACGGATGAGGTTATTTATTTCTTAAAGGGATACACTATTGTACGGCGCTATTTCACTTTGACCTGTGTATGTCTGGATACTTTGTGTCATTAAGTCAGCATATGAACGAATGGTATCTTCATTAAGCAGCAGTACAAAAGCACGCCAACAGAAGTTTAATTCCTAAATGTTTCTCTGTTTCGTTTTGCAGGTGATTGGTTATTCATATTATTATTATATTATTTGTCCCTTGGGTTCTTATTGAAAACAGAGCTTCAGTAGCACATCTTCAGTGCACTCTGTTCTCTGCAGACTTTTGAACCTGGTTCCACGACAGCCCATAAGCTCTCATTTCTTCCTCGCACGATCTCCTCCATGTCACCCTTGCTTCGGACACCCAACTGGTCGTTTCCCCTTTGGGTTCCACTCGAGTGATTGGCCTGGCGCATGATGTCCCCAGTCGGCCTTCTCAGTGTATGCCGAATCTAATCCATCTCCACTTGCTTGTGCATATTTGCTGAGTGATAGGTTGTTGGTTGGTTCGTTGCCAGACCAGAGTTCGTTGTTGCTTATTGCCATCATTCTGGCCATCTGATCTTCAGTAACGAGCCAGCGTAGGTGGCAGTTGTTGATGAATGTGTGTAGTTTGTTGGGAATGCCTTTTGTGACGCGCAAAGTTTGTGAACCATGAAATGGAAGCAGTGACTTGACTGGTATTGGTGTTGAAAATCCGTATGTTGTTCACGCTTTATGCTGATTGCAGAAGATCTGCACACTGATTTCAGGTTAATGAATGCCTGTCTTGCTGTGTTTCCGATCCTGGCTGGCTTTGACGTCCTCGTCTGTGTCTGTGTCTGTGCCTGTGCTGCCTAGATAGGTGAAGGAGACTACTTCGTTTAAGTTTCTCCCGTTGATGGTGATTGATGCCTCTTGTTGTTGTTGTTTGTTGGGTATCTTCATCACCTCTGTCTTCTCTACATTCACTTGAAGTCCCGTCTTCCCTGGCTGCCCTGCCTCTTTTGTCAAGCTGTTAGTTTTCGCCTGTAGATGTACAAGTTTGTGTGACATTAGACACGAGTCACCGGCGAAATCCGAATCTTGTAGTATCTTTTCATTGGTGCAGTGTATCCCCTTCTTCTCGCTCCCTACTGTTTGTTGCATGATCCAGTCGACCACAATGAGGATTATCATGGGTGATAGTAGATAGCCTTGTTTCACTCCTGTCTTCACTTGACTGCAAAGGCATCAGTGAGCTTCCCATTGTGAATTACTTGGCATGTGGCGTCTTCATATAATTGTTGAATGAGATTGAGAAAGGTTTGTGGTATTCTGTAGTGTTGAAGCAACTGCCCAATTACTTGTCGGTTGATGCTGTCAAAGGTAGAGGTAGAGGGTTAACTAGATTGATGATGAAAGCTTCAGGATTAGACTGTCTAGCTCAGAGAACGCACCACCAAAAATTATTTTGAATATTGAAATGCGTAAAGGAGGTACTCATAAGCTGTTGTGTAGTTACGCCAACATAATGCGAACTAAATATCGTTGTTAAACTTTTGATGACAAGTGAAGAAATTGAACCACATTAGAGGAGATGTTCAGTGAAAACTGTTTGATAGTGTATCCACTAAGTCTTCATAAAGCAATTATCATATCAGTATACATGAAAAAAAAAATCCACTTAGCAACCTTGTGGACATTCACACAGTGTCAGGGTTAATGGTATTACCTTAGTTTCGAAACTTCGCTAGGCGAAGTGGTGTTCGAACTCTTTACCCACTGGCTGAAAATCGTTACTAAACAAATTATCGACAAACTCCACAGTATGAATGGATCATAAAGGTATCCAAAGCATGTAGTGATTTGAATTGGATGCGTTATTTTGTAACATTTATTACTCAGTTATCGAGTCTATTTTCACTTCCAACTGTATTCAAAAACATCGTTTATGCAATATCGTTGACTCTTTCTGCTTCATTATTACGGGTTTAGTATGCTATTCTGAAATCTTTATCTTCCAGATTGACTTCTCAGTCTATGATAAGCGATAACAGCTTGGAGATTCGGAGTATTAAACCTATTACGGTTGTATTCATCACTTGGAGAACCACTGAAAACCTAAGAGCAATAGGGAGCTGTTTCGTCTTAGTATGGGACTCGCCTGGTTAACTAGTTCACTAGTTACTAGCCGGTCCTAAGCCCGGGTAAACAGGGAAGGTTGGGCATAGGGCTAGCAACCCTACCCGTAAAACAAATCTAACCGCTAAACAAACTTCAAAACACAAACAAAATATAAAAAATGAAAACAAACTTGTTCCTCGCTGGAATCGGAGAGGCGAAATGACGCCAGTTGGTGAAAGCCTTCGGGAAGCCAATTGGCCGATGTGTCTTCTCTCCCTCGATGAAAGCGAAAGTAGACGTGGGGACATGGAATGTCCGTACGATGTTTGAACCCAGTAAGGCAGCCTAGATTGCAAAGGAGATGAGAAGGTATCACATCGAAGTGCTTGGGATTTGCGAAAACAGATGGAATGGGAGTGGAGTCTCCAAACTGTCAACTGGAGAGGAGTCAATAATCTACTCAGATATTGTCACCCTGACGACAGCCATGAGCACACTGAGTTATGGAGTGGCTATCATGATGTCCCTAAGAGCATCGAAGGCTCTCATGCAGTGGGAACCAATCTCCTCCAGGATCATGACACCAAGATAGATACAACTCAAAAGGAAGGAAGAAAGGTCACAATCATACAATGCTATGCACCTACAAATAATGCAGAGCAAGAGAAGAGGGAGGAATTCTACAGACAACTTCAATCAACACTGGACAAGATGCCAGTTGGCGATATCCAAATTCTAATGGGCGACATGAATGCCAGCCAAACTAGGAGCGGACAACACAGGAAGAGAACTAACCATGGGTCGGAAGCACTCGGTGAGGTGATGAACGAGAATGGAGAATTGTTTGCAGAATTCTGCGCATTCAACGATTTGATGATTGGAGGCAGTGTATTCAGGCACAAGGATATCCACAAAGCGACATGGATTTCACCAGACACCAGGACACACTAAAAATCAGATCGACTTTATCTCAATCTCAAGAAAATGGAGACACAGTCTACTTAACACAAGGTCAAGAAGAGGAGCAGATGTAGGTGGTTCACACCACTCACTATCTAGTGCAAGGAACCTTCCAAATCAAGTTAAAAGCCTTCAAGGAAGCTGGTGATAGACCTCAACCCAAGTACAACACTCGGAAACTGAAGGATGAAACTACAAAGGAGATCTTCACTTCAACCATCAAAACAAAATGGGGGATATCGAGGAACATCCTCAAAGAAACCTCTGTAAAAGAACACTGGAAGTCTTTGAAAGCAATGTGGAAAGAAACCTGCAGAGCCGTATTAAGAAGGAAGAAGAAAGAAGATAAGGAATGGATCTCAATGGATACATGGAAGCTGATAGAGGAGAGGAGGATGGTGAAGCAGAAGATAAACCAGTGCAAGGACGCTCAACGACAAGAGGAACTGAGCACAATGTATAAAACACTGGACAAAGAAGTAAAGAAGAGTGCATGGAGAGACAAAAGACACTTCTACGAAACACTGGCAAGTGAAGCAGAACAGGCTACCAGCTGGTAAGAGAGACCTGACAACATTGTATCAAATAACCAGGTTGCTATCTGGGAAGGGATCAACGCAGATGAAACCAATAAAAGATGATGATGGAAATTTAATTACGAAAGAAGAGAAACAAAGGAAACAATGGACCGACCACTTCAAGAAGCTCTTGAATCGACCACCACCACCACCACCACCTGCACTTCGTCCAGAAATACCACCTGCAGCCCAGCCACAGGACTACAAGTGAACATTAATCCCCCAACGAAAATGGAAGTCCTGAACGCCATAAAGCTACTGAAATGCGGGAAAGCAGCAGGACCAGATGGAATACCGCCAGAAGCACTGAAAACAGATGCAGAGACAACAGCGGACATGCTCACACCACTATTGCAGAAGGTGTGGAAGGAAGAGAAGGTACCAGGCTAGTGATTGGAAGAAGGGTTACCTTGTCAAACTGCCGAAGAAGGGAGACCTCAGTGTTTGCAAGAACTGTTGAGGAATCACTTTCCTGCCCACCCCAGGCAAAATATTAAGCCACATCATTCTGGAGAAGCTTAAGGATGCACTGGATTCAAAACTGCGACCGGAACAGGCAGGCTTCAGGAAGTACAAATCATGTGCAGACCAGATTGCAACGCTTCGCATCATCATAGAACAGAGTATAGAATGGCAATCAGCTCTCTACCTCAACTTTATCGACTTTGAGAAGGCCTTTGACAGCGTCGACCGAGAGATAATTTGGAAACTGCTTCACTACTACGGGGTACCGCAAACCTTTATCCGCCTCATTCAACAACTATATGAAGATGCCACACGCCAAGTAATTCACAATGCAAAGCTCAGCTCAGTGATGCTTTTGAAGTGATGACAGGAGTGAAACAAGGTTGCCTACTATCCCCCATGATATTCTTGATTGTGGTGGACTGGATCATGCAGCAAACAGTGGGGAGCGAGAAGAGGGGGACTGCGGAAAAGAACCTAGAAGACTTGGATTTCGCCGATGACTTGTGCCTGATGTCACATAAACTTGAAGATCTACAGGCGAAAACTAACAATTTGTCAGAAAAGGTGAGGCAGCGAAGACGGGACTTCAGGTGAATATAGAGAAGACAGAAGTGATGAATATACCGCACCAACAACTTCAACAACAACAAATTCCAATCACCATCAACAGGAGAAACTTAAAGGAAGTAACCTCCTTCACCTATCTAGGAAGCACTGTTTCAACAACAGGCGGGACAGACGAGGACGTCAAAGTCAGAATCGGAAAAGCAAGACAGGCGTTCATTAGCCTGAAACCAGTGTGGAGATCTTCTGCACTCAGCATGCGGAACAAGATCTGGATTTTCAACACCAACGTCGAGTCAGTGCTTCTGTATGGTTCAGAGACTTGGCGCGTCACTAAAGGGAATTCCAATAAACTACAGACATTCATCAACAACTGCTTACGCTCGCTACTGAAGATCAGATGGCCAGAAAGAATAAGCAACAAGGAACTCTGGGAACGAACCAACCAAGAAGCTATCGCTCAACAAATATGCAGGAAGAAAGTGGAGATTGATTGTGCATACACTGAGAAAGCCGACTGGGGACATTATGCGCCAGGCCCTCGAGTGGAATCCCCATGGGAAGCGACGAGTTGGACGTCCGAGGGTGACATGGAGGAGGTCGTGCGATGAAGAAATAAGAGGTTGTGGGCTGTCGTGGAACCAGGTTCAAAAATTCTCGGAGAACAGAGTTCACTGGAGACGTGCTACTGAAGCCCTATGTTCCACTAGGAACCCAAGGGACTAATAATAATAATAATAATAATAATAATAATAATAATAATAATAATATGGGACTCGTCAGCAGTATGCGCCTCAAATTGAAAGTGGTAGGAAACTGCGAACCGACCCAGTGGCTGAATGGCTAACGTGTTCACCATGAAACTTGAAGTCCCTGAGTTCGATCCCGAGTGAAGTCATGGGTGCATACTGCTGAGCAATTCCATTCTAGGACGAAACATCTGCCCAGTTGTCTTAGGTTTTCCCTGGTTCTCGAACTGATATCAGTTCGTGAATACAATCTTAAGAATGGAATGCCCATTAACCTCGGAATACATTATTATAATTATTATTAACAGTTGAACTAAAAGCAAACTATCAGAAATTAAGGCACATAAAATGTTTATGTGAAATATTAGCAATAATATCTGGAAAGTCTGTTGGGAAGGCCATTTAAAACCATAATTTTGGTAACCTACTCGACTGTTATGTTTGAAATCGTTCCATGTGAATGTATTTATTTTTCTGTACCACAACATTTATCTGTTTCCATTGCATATATCATTGTGAAATGCCTGATGGGAATGGTAAATATTAGGTTATTTGAAAATTGTCGAAAGAAGATTATGGATTGCAATCAACAGACGAATTAATTCTGTGAATCTATTTTAAACAGTAGAAATAAACTATATAGATTCACATAAGATAGTTATCTATGAAATCAGACTGCGAAAGAAGTGTAATTTATGCCGCTGTTATTTATATTGAAACGAAATAAAAAGTGTGTTTTGATTCTCAGCCTAGTCTTATTTTTTCACGATTTATTGATGATACTTTGTCACTCAAGTGATCCAGTAGCCTTACATTTTCTTATATCTTCCAATAATCATTTGATGATTCCTCCTAAATACTCACTAGATATTTCAGTATATCATTCGTTCCTTTTGCCTGGATTATTCTTTTACAAATTGTTGCGGAAAAAGTTTTGGAAATTGAATCGCCTATAATACTGACATAGAAAGACGAACAGAAATAACATGAAACTGTGTCCTAAATTGCATCACTTCGAGCTGATATACATTATAAAAATTTCGAAGATGAAAATAGACGATAGGAGTAAGATAATAACAATGGGGAAAGATGGCTAATTGTTGGTTATAGTTTCAAATGAACTGAATTTATTGTTCACGTTTATTTCTTCTTTATGCTTAGAATCAAACATTGAAAATTAGAATATACTGTAATTAAAGTACAAATATTGAATATCATTTGCATTTTACGTGCTTTACTTAACAGCAGGAACAAAATATGAACTTTAAATAACTATATCTGTTTCTATCTGAGTTAACATAAAGTATTTTACAAAGGAGTGATTTTTGTCAGCGAAAATTTAGGTAAACCGTAATTAAAAAAAATGCCCTTCGCAACCATAATTATATGATTTTTGACAGTGTTCATTGGGTATAAAATATTTTTTAGATGTTGTTTGATACTTGTAATTTCCCGTTGCTACACAAGGTCGAATTGCTCGACTTCTGTTGGCAGATGAGGTCGTAGTGGATGCCTCGACACTGCCGGATATCCATGATTTTGTATTCATCTTGGTGACCAGTAGTGGAATTCAGGAAGCGCCCTTTATACAAGTGGTGGTTCTGGTGCCCCAGTGGGTTAGTGGATAACTTTTTGGTGTTTGGAGTGAAGGGTACTAGGTCCGAGTCTCGTTGGGAAGAACATCACTCACTGGGGTGCAGGAGTATCCAGCTGGTGAGTCCTAAGTGGGACGAAACATGCGTCCTGGATTCCAGTGCCAGTCACTAAGATGAATATTTCTTCAGATGTAAGTTAAATTACTAAAAATCTTTGTTACTCTATAATTGATGGAAGAAAATTTGGATGGTTACATCATATTTATCTTTGGGGATTTTAAGTCATGACTCATAACAATGTTTTACTGTCTACATCAGAATAATGGAATCCAGATTTGTTCTTGAAATTCTAGTGCATGTTTTATTTGAGGACCTCTTCATTGTTTGCTTCCCTGTCATGAATTTTATTCGATATTTTTTTTGTTTGGTCTTGTTATTCAGTTTATAATGAAGAAGAACCAATAAAGCTGGTTGCCTGTTACAGCCATTTAACCGGGACTATGCCACCGGTCTTACCTAATGTTTGTTATTCAGCACCACGTAATCAGCGTACCAAACGGATTCTTGGTAGTAGCAACAGTAGTAGTAGTAATGTTGGATTAACGATTTCTAGTAATACTGGTACTACCACCATTAGCACTGCTTCTATTGCATCCCCGAATGGAGTTTGTCCTGGGGATTCATCTCAACAATTCCATCAAGGTTCTATTGATCCAATTTCATCTCCTGATAGACAATCAGGATTTACATGTCCTGTCAATAGCCGTATTACTGTTTCTACATGCTCTTGTGCACCACTGGATCATGGCACATTTGCATTAACTGGCCTACTTCGAGGTTTGATTTACTGGCGCTTAGCTAATCAGTATTCTGATAACCAATCAGTTGAAGCTGTGGATCAGTTTGGAACACATGTAATTACTTCTACGGGATTAGGAATCACTGGGGATGATATTGCTTTACTAGTAAGTTAAGTTCGTTGGAATATGAATATTATTTAATGATTGGTTTCCAAATAACAAATACAGAAGTATACTTGATGGACATTTCAGTAGAAAATACTAAACATAACATTCTATATTGATTTACTAATTAAATGTAACCGGAATCGAAATAGTGTTACTCATTGATACATTTCTATTACTGTCTCTCCATGAATCGTATCCAGTGAATGAATTAACGTAGAATAACTATATCTCGTTTTATTTCCCTATAGGCTAAATGCAGAATTTTCCAAAGACTAATACTTTATTAATAATCTCTTACTCACTGTTACTGCGATAAAACTATTAATGAGTCAGATTCACATTATTCGGCACATTGTAACATATGTGAGATATCAAAAGGATAAACATTAGATATTTCCTGTACTTTGTTGAAGTTAATAAATCACTATTAGTTCTTATTAAATTATTTTTGATTTAGAGTACACTGTCTTGTTGAAATATTCACAATCAAATTCTTGATAACGTTTTAAACTTCATATTAAATGGCAATATATGTAATGTTGACAGTTGTTTTACGTATACGTATACGCGTTGAGCAGAAATCTGAGGAAGTTTGGTATGCGTTTCATTGGCACCTATCGAATGTAAAATTATGCTTCAGGACTGGTCTGTTGCAAGCACTCTCAGTTTAATAATAGAGAGTGAAGTGACGGAGTTTATCGACTATTTCACCTACTTTAGGTGCTGCATCACCCTGAACGGGCTGGTCGCTGATGACGTCTCACCTCAGATACAAAAGGCCAGTTTGGCATTTGCCAACCCGCATCATCTGTGGCGCCTGCTGGCAAGATATTCGACTATCTATCATCGGAGAACTAGTATGCTTCCTTGCAGTCTGTTTTGTCCTGTTATGCGGCTGTGAGATAAGGTTGTTAAAAGTAGGTATGAAGGGGTTGCAGAGTTTTGATCGCAGGTTTCTTCGCAACATTGCTCGTGAATGGGAGAACCACCGTGTGAGCAATCAGTCGAAGGTTACTAGGTAAGACAGGGAAGTTGATTGATGATGAGGTTGTAAAGCCTCATTGACTGGGGTGGCTTGGACATGTGTTGCTCAAACGGAGCCACCGCGTACCAGGAAATGCGACGCTGGAGGAAGGTCCATTAGGTTGAAAGAGAGTTCAAGGTGACCAGATGAAGACGTGGCATCAGTCGATGAAATCGCTGACATTTGGTCTGATGCGTAAGAGGAGATGTAGACTGCCTGGTTGAGGGCCCCAAGGCGAAAGGAATGAATGGTTGAGGACTGTTGCTAACATCGCTGAAAGTCGGTCACAATGGTGCAGATTTATTCGCCCCTCAGCATCGTCTAAAGCTTTAATATTCGCGCTAACCTTTATTTTCAAATTTCTTATTCTGTCATACAACGTTTTTTAATTTGATGTCAATCTTTTACTACCTACTTATTCTTTGTATACTACTGTGAAGTGTTAGAATTTGAACCGATGCACTTGTGTACGAGGTTCTACATTGATTTTGTCAGTCTGACAAGAAACAGGTCGATACGTTTTGAAGTGGAGAAATTTCGATGTAATTTTCTTGATAGTTAGGCTGTTTAATTCAGGATGCACTTCTCTTACTATTTGAGCCTTATCCATTGCGTGTACCTTAAACTTCAATAAGTCATAGTATTCTCATTAGAATACGAACCTAGCATCAGTCATGTCAAACTTAACAACGTTATACACCAGTTTTCTGAGTCATGAGAGTCGTTTTTTTGTTCCATGACACAAATACACATCCTGTGATCCAATACTAACCATCATCAGGCAAAATTCATTAAAATGAATCTTGTGGCAATATCGAGGCATTTGTCCACTTAGTTCATATAGCAGCAAAGAGTGGTAAATTCAGTCCAGTAAAATAATCTGAAGGAATTTACAATCACACAAACAAAGATGTTTAGAGTATTGTGTAGAGGTAGTACTTAGAATTTACTTAGTTATCTTATTCTACTACTTGTTCGATTAATTAGCTAACTTTACTTTTTATAATAAACGTTTGTATTTCCAACGTATTCTACTTATGGTTATATTTATTGAATACATAGACTGCATAAATGATGATGCTGGACTTTCGATTGCCTAACTCGTGTTATATTTTCTGCAACATTTTCAGCCAACATTGATGCTGTTTCTAGCTTATTTGCGTGACAATCTCACTTATAAGTTGTATTCATTTATTATTTTTGAAATAATAGATCATTCAACCACTCACAGAAAGTTGTCTTCATTTAGAAGCAACACGTATAATGACATGGGCGTGTCATGTTTTAGTGCTTGTATTGGATAAAAGTCCAGAATTGCATATGTGGACTGTGTACACAAATTCATTTGTACGTGAGGTTGACCATCGTGTTACATCCTTATTGAAAGCTGTTCAAGAAGCATCAGACACTGTATGTTTATCTTATTGTTAAAATATGCACCACTGTATATTATTTTATACATTCTAATTTTTTTGTTTTCGCTGGAAACGTGAAATTCCCATTATTCGTTTACTCTGTCTTCACAATTTTGAATACTGGTTTATTGTATTGAACATCCTCTTTTGGTGGTAAGATAATATCAAAATCCTCATGTATATATTTGATGTTGGGTGGTAGTTGACGATGAGAGGAAAATTTAGACTGTGGTGGGATTTTAACGAACGATCACCCGGTTCGAATCTCACCGCTACTCAAATTTTCATTTCACCTTCAGTCATCACCCAGTATCAATACCAGTCTGTCTCACTCAGATACTCAAAATGATATATTTGAAGTGTCTAAAATTCTAGTTTAAACTGTAGAGTTTTTGATGGTTTCTAATGCATGTATTGCTCAGATATTTGAAAAAATTATTCGTAAACGATGATAAAAACAATGTATGAATTCCATGAATAACGGAAATCTACTATTGATGCAACTTAACAGCCACTTATATGAGTACTTATTAAAAAATTTGGTAATTATCGAAGTTGTAAGTGTAAGTACATTCTTAAGGATGCCTCGTTAACCGAGCATGTTATTAGACTAGCACATACATATTTATCTAGTAGAATATATTTGAACCTGCTGATTTGGATGCTCATTGTCCTGAATTCCGGTTGTGAATTTAGTTTTCTTTCTAACTCATGTGTCGTTTTTCAAATAAGATTATCTCACAGTCTAATCACCTCTCAATCAATCTTTCCTCTTTTCTAACAGCTTTGTCTCAATTTAGATAAGCTGTAAAGTGTAATAGTAAACGTATAGTTATGTATCACTTGTTCATCTGAACAATGGACTAAACTCCCGATGATTGGGACGCGGTAGACATTTACGTCTTGCGTAGTTGTGAGTTGCATTGGTCTAAGCAATTGACTTTCAACCAGTGGATTTACACAGTCAATTAGTATCATTAGCCCTCGTACAACGTGTGTAGCTCATTGCTGAGTTCATGAACAGAACATCGCTCCTGAAACATAGTTTCCCTCATATCCTACAGTTAAGTCGTTAAGGTTCCATCCAGACTGGCAATTGACTGACATCTGATTCTAAACTCCTGCAGTTATCTATTTTTCTTTAGACTTCAATCATTATCCACTAACATTAATTAGGTATTTATAAATTCATGAAAATAACAAAGTATTTATTGGCTTTTACCTGAATCCACACCGTATTCTTGTGACATAGGTGGAATTTTAAATATTTATTTATTTGTTGAAGAAAGTACACTACACATGATAGCCAATATGATCTAAATCATAAGAAAAGGTAAAATGTAAACAGAATAGTTTTTCAAGCAATAAGAATACTTTTGTGTATCGAGTTATAGTGGTGAAATTCGGTGATATTGAATTTCTTACTAGTGCAGCACTTCGTACTACACATTCATGTATTTTGTTCAATAACTTGAGCTTTTCTTTGAAGAAATAAGAGTATATCTATAGATCTGCTTAATTAATAGAATAATTTCACTCACCCGGCTTTCACTTCCTTTTCCTTTTAACACATCAATAGATCTTTACTATGCTTAGGTGACTTTATCATCAGATACTAATAATGCTGTAAGCGTAATCATTTAGCTGAAAGATATCAGATAAGCATAAAATATGACAAAGTTACTGACGATCAGATCATTGTAAGTTGACTATAATGCTTATTTAGGCTTTTACCGAATGAGGATTCCATCTACAGTATGTTCACTAGAATTCATATGTATTTCAGTTTGATAGTCATCATGGATTGACATAAATTGGAGAAACATGCGAAACGTGGTAGGGCTGGAAAGCTGTTTCGTCCCAGTGTGGGGCTTTTCAGCAATCCGCACCTAAGACCCTGCCGGGACCTTAAGGTTTAGTGGTCAGCATGTTGTTGTTGAGCCACTGAATCGGAATCCAGTGGTCCATACTTTCTACTTCTATCAGTCGACTATATAGTGCGACCTTAATCCAATGCCGTCGTTGAGGAGCTGTCTTCATGTCCCACATGGTTGGCCACGCCGGTCACGATTTCTCATAGGAACTTTAAGAATCACTTCTCGAAGCTAGTTACCAATGAGCATTAGGAAATTCAATTTGGAGGTTTTTGGGGATTTATTTATTGATGAATACTAACCTGAAATCAATAAATCAATCTCCATAAACCTCTGAATTGAATTCATATAGTTTTCTATTCATATTAGCTAACCTAATGGTACTATGTAAAAAAAATAGATTGTTCCTACTTTTGTAAAGTCCCTTTTGTTATTGTGAAACCATTATTCCGTATACCGACATATTTCTGGTTCTAAAGAAATACCTGTTTCGCCGTGTAACGTGTTGTGATAAGACATTGTGTACATGCGCATTAAAGAGGTATCAGTATGTTCCATCAACTGATTGATTATCCTGCTGACTCTGATGGTGTTGTGTTCTCTTAGCTGGGTAGTTTAATGGTGAAGCTGTTTCTGAAGTTTGTACTGATAATGTCTGTAAGGACAATGAAAGCTTCATGATTAAGCTATCCAGTTTAGAGAACACAACCCCATCAAAATCATCTTTCTGAACAACAAATATTCTCCATCATCTCAACATCCTATTGACACTCATCTCTTGTGTGCTGATAGTAGCTTTTTCTGTGGACATGTTGCTATTTGCTGAGTTGTAGTATTATCTAAACTCGATACTCAATGCATACAATAGCATACCACTTGTGAATTAAATGTATCTGGAGTACCTAATTGTATGTTCACAAGATTCACGAGGGATACTGAATAATTCACAATCCATTCTCGTTTTTCGTTGAGAATGAATTATACTTTACTGAAACAAACTGTCAGTAATTTGCATTGGTATTTCAGTTGAAATAGTCGAACTTCTGTCATTTATGTTTCAATGAATGTATTTAGAAAAACACAAGGAGGTTACAGCGAAGACAAATATCTTTTCTGCAACTCATACTCACAGCTGTACATTCGAAAATATATAAACAAAATGATAGAATTAGTGTTATTGCTTGTATGACACCGTCGTTATTTGGACCGAATTGATCAGTCTCTATTGGCGTATGGGCTGCTGTCCCAAATAGGACGAAATGCGCATCCTGGATTCCACTGCTACCCGCTACCCATCATTAATATACAAAATGATAGAATGTTGCAGGGAAGTTTCAGGTCAAACGTAATCGACACATATAGAGGGAATAAAATATCATTGTATAATACAAGAAATAGTTTTAATAGTTCGTATAAAATGCATTGAATAGTAAAACTTGACTTCTGGTAAAAATAAATGAACATGTAAGTAAATAAACCAATAAAATATACAAATGAAAACAGAGGTGCAAAGTATCTGTTTGAGGCCACGATAGAGCGTTTGTAAATGCTTCTCTTGAATGCACAATTGAGGTTTGAAACTGTGAATTGCCAAAACCTTGGGTGTACATAATTGTCAAATCCTCACCCTTGTTAATGCCACTGAAAGGAGGACAGATGTTTGTTTGCGATTTACTTTGTTGTGAATGGAACGACCTAAACTGATTGCCTTTTGTCTTATTTATTGATTTACAATGTCAATTCTTTCTTGACACACTGTTTACACGAATACAGTCTTACCACTTGAGGAAGATTTAGTTTGTCTCTTTTCTAAATGTTGACCTTACTATCCGATGAAGATTGACTGTCTTCGTAGATCTCTCGCCTTATTATTTACTGTTGAGTGGCTGCTGCTGTGACTCAATGCTGTTGGGATTTAACAGTCAATGTTTGGGTCCCTTGGTTTAAATGCTCTAAGTCGATTTTGTTCTTGGCCATTGGGCAATATGAATAATTAATGATGAATATTAGCTGGCATTGGAATCCAGGACGCGCACAAAATCATATAAATATGAGTAATTCCATATAAACTTGATGTCTTATAATCTGGTTCACAAGTATGAATGAAGTTAAAGGATTCCTCGTTGACAATGCGTTTTGAATTTACTTATCGTAATTTCCACCATTCTCGATCGATAACTGCTACGTTGACGTGGTGGTCGGGTTTGCATATCACAATGGTCCAATGAACTACACTGACTGGAACCCTCAAGGTCCAATCATGCCGGAAAGGTCTGTTAGATAGTGATAAGACAGAAAGCAGTCAACGTTGTAGTGTAAATTACTACACTACGATGTGGGTCTGAGGGTGAAGTCGTACTGCTGCTAGCTGGATGGATTGTGGCAGCAATAAGGTATTTCCCTTGGATGACCAGCAGTGTCACATTGATACTACCTTCCATATAGGAAGGAAGGGGGTGGAGTAGAAAAGGTCGCTCCCCAAAACATAACACTCCCACCACTGTGGCATGCCGATGTTTGCAACAGGGATTCATAGTCGAATTTGAAAGCTGATATTAGGTATGGCAACTTAGATCGTTGTGTGATAATGCCTGTTCCTATGCTGATGTTCATTGATTGATTGAATTCTCACCAGCTGTCAGTAAAATTTGTATGTTGCATCCAAGTTATTCATGCCCACTTTCATACTCAGATGTACGTCATTTAGCAAGATGGTTATGGGTACTTTCACTGTTGCCTTCAGGCTGTAATCCGACCAAAATCTCCCAAATGTTTTTTTATGTGTATCTTAGTCACTTCTACTCACTTTAAAAAAATCTAAGAACTATTGGTTTTGAAATGTAATCATTCTAAAGTTTCTACCAGCTATATTCACTACTAAGTATCTTTAGATATGAGTAGTATGTTGATTTTAAAGTTTACAATAACGTTAGTATTTTTAGTTGTGATTCCAACTTTTTGGTGCACAGAAATATCAAAAAAATATTAATATACTTAGCTTTATAAGCTACTTCTTTGTTGATAGCTCTTTCATACTATCTTTTTCCATTCAACTTGTCAAACATACTAGACTCTTTCCACTGTCCAAGGGACGAAAAGTCATCAGCAAAGCATTCCGGTAAATTATACTAACAATAATCACATAAAATGTTATAATTTTATACCTGCGAAATTGTCATTTTTCGCGTTTTTATTTTTTTTATAAATTTACAGCAAAGTTATACACAATTTCTGGAACACTTAATTCCATTGGTTAAATTGTTCTCCTGTCTGGCATCTGGACATGAATCAACTCGAATACTTGTAAGTGTCAGTTTGTTGATATATTCTTCGAGAAGCCACTTTTGTATATGGAATGGATACATAAGGTGTTGTAATTGATGATGGAAAGATAGTATGCCATCGGAAACTTGACGGACAGTGTCAGTTTAACTTATTTCAGTCAACACACCTAGATAGAACAATTGTTTAAAGGTTCAACTGTTAAATAATGGGCCATGGATTCTATTTCGCTTTTATATATCATGGTTTTAATGGTTAGATAGAATCATTATATCCTTACACAATGGATATGCCACCGGTGTGTACTAAACTATTAGACTATACATCATCATCATCATTATCAACATAGGACCAGGCATTACTGCGTAACGGTCCGAGTTGCCACACCTCATATCAGCACATCAAGTAAAGAGGTAGTGAGGCGAAGGATGAAGATAAGTGAATGCAGTCAAAAGAAATATTAAGTACGAGAAGAAAGGAAAGAGGAGTGACAAAATAGTGAGATTCGGTATAGCGTTGTTAAAATGAGGATAATGTGTGTATACATCTGCGCCACTGACTTCGGTTCTGAGCCATGTGATCACCTAGAGTCTCCAACCACTGGTTCCTCTTGTCCCGTGGACCCCAACCACCTAGTCTGCATCGTCCTACATGGCTTAAACCAACAGTCAGAGACTTCATACATTGGTGCCATGTTTTAGTCTGGCCACCTCGGGCTTTTTTCCAGCCTGGACCCACCTCAGCCAACATTGTGTGACGAGGCAATCGGTGACTAGGCATACGTAGTACGTGTCCTAACCATCTCGGTCGATGAAGGTTCACAACCTCGTCGACTGACTTACCTCTTCTCCCTAAAACTCTACACCTGACTTCTGCGTTACTCACATGGTGACACCACGGAATACGGCCTATACTACGAAGGCAATGGTGGTCAAACACCTGAAGCCTATAGCACTGAGTATAAAATGAATAAGCCTATCTTTAAAACACAGGAAAGTTGTGGAGAACAGTTTTAAGTTATTTAGTTTAAGTATCTTCAAGCAAAAGTTCTTAATATTTTAGTTTAACGCATATAGACAAAGTTTGCACACTTAAGTGATTCACACTTACATTTCTGTTTCAGATCGAATGAATATTTAACACATTTTTCAGACATAGTTTTACAACTCTACAGCTAAGGCAACTACTTGTATTTAACAGCATGTTACTTTGTATGTATATCCTAAAAGTTCACTTTTAGTTATTTATTGATCTTCTAATGTTTGATAGATCAGGTCGTCAATAGTATTATGGCTTTTAATGAAATAATCAGTTTGAATAGTTCTGGGTTCAGGTTGGTGAATATTTCAAGTGGTACTGTTTTGTATATTCATAAGCGTTTGTAAGGAATGGTAGTTTCTTGAATTAATCTCTGTTGGGACACTAACTCCGCCAACACTCGTTGCATTTGTTGTCGTTAAAGTTGTCTTCCATTTGTTCGATAGAGCTATACTCTATAGTTGTCTGTCAGAGAGAGTTGTTAACATCTTAAAAGTACTATAATTTGACACCTCAGGTAAAGGGAAGACACACAACCACCTATCTCTACTATTCCAAACCAGTTGTGGGATTAGACATGGCTGCTTAATATCGTCAATCCTCATTAACTTTGCCGTCAACAGCATTCTCGATACAGTCCTGAAGGGGAAGTGTATGTGGTGGTGTGTAGACCTGTTACCGGATGAAAGATTTTTCGATCTCGAGTATTTAAACGATATCGTTTCGCTGTGTAACGATATACATACCACTCTAATTTGACTCAGTATTTGTCCGTAATTGTGCTACTTGCTTTTGGCCATTATAGTGCAAAATGCTTCTACAAGATTACGAGGGGCATGTGTCTGGAGTCACTCTTGGTGGTGAATCGCTGGAAGTTGTCTAAAGTTCGTGCACTTCTGTAGTTGTGTGGGTACTGACAGAGGTGTAGCTGAAGAGATTTTCAACCGTACAACGAAAGTCAGAGCGGCATACACCAATCTAGATCGCCTGTGGTGCCGTCATGACGTTGACTTTGCTGTAAAAGGTTGAGTATTCGACGCGTTATTGTAAGCATTTCTACTCTACGCCTGTAAAGCCTGGCTTGAATGAGCTGAGAATGTTTCATAACTCTGCGTTTCTGGTCACTGTTGTATCTGCAGGATTCCACGTATCCGCTGTAAGTTATTCTGAGGCGACGCGAAGTATATATTTACGCGTGGTGGAGATCATCGTTTGGTGAACCTGGTCATCTTAAAACACCGGCTTCGGTGATTCAGACATGTGCCTTGCATCTCTCATATATATATAATGTATTAGCCTCTTAGTTCTGAACACCGGACTTTGAACCGCTTGTTGTTCGCGTGGAGCTATGATTTATCGATTTAGGGAGGTGATTTTCGACCGGTGGGTCACGGGTTCAAACCCCGCTCCACTTACTGAGGTTTGGACAGCCAGGTGGTATTATTAACCCTCAAACACTAGGTTTGGCTCATCACCTACTGCACGAATGTGCAGAAGGTTGCTGAGTGAATTTGGATTCGAGTTATTCTTTGGTTTGAAATCCCCTCAATTTACTGATGTTTGAACGGCAACTTATCTTTTTTAACCGCCACTGTTGTCAGTAAGTAGTAATTTTTTTCTTCCTGTGCTCGCAACTAATAGTAGTTGAGGAAGAAGTATCTTGTGCAACATATAATCTTCCGAAGTGAAAATTATTTATGCTGATTTTTCGCTACCACTTATATTTAGTTATTAGACAGGGAGTTTATTGGTTTTATAAATTCATAGACCTTATTAAACATCTGTGCTTTTAAAAATACTTCATATATCATGAGATAAATTGTGCTTTCCTTCGATGAACCACATCTCGTTACCCACTCTTAGCTTAATTTGCCTTCATTTTCAGATTGGTGAATTGACAATGTGTAAGAAACTTGTCGATTTTGCAATGCGTCTGAAGTCATTAGGTGCTGAAAATGAGAATCTTGTCATGCAATTCCAGGTATGATTCATACATGTAGAAGTGTTATTTAACTTCTTTTTTTTTAACGCTTTTGGTGCTTTTTTTTTATTTTTTCAAGTTATGTGAATGAGCAGAGATAATAACCGTGGCAATTTTTTAATTGCTATGTGATAGCAGTCATCCATAAATAATTATTCCTGCTAGTAAGTAATTAAATTCGTAGATGTACTGCTTCATGTCTGCGTAGTCATTTGGAATACTCAGTGTAGTGTCATTCACGTGAAACTCAACTGTGGTGATGGCTTAGCAGCTGTATCATCTTATACTCTTACGTGTTAACAACTTGTCTTCAGATTTCATTTGACAAGGCAAACATCTTTCGGTATCCATAGGTTTTATATTTAATTTTAGGCTGTTTTTCGTTTAATTATGTATTAGATCGTCGATATCCTTTATTTATCGCTTGTGTACAGTAAAATTACAGAATGAAAAATATGAGTGTTAGGCGTCAAGTAAATCACATGGTTGGAACATAATTTACTTGTAAACACACCAACCATATGACCTTGTTGTGTTATGCCAGCTATATATAAGCAAAATGCGAGGGAATCTAGGGTGATTGCGTCAAAGCCTGTCGGAAATCCACAGGAGTTTTCAGTATCTCTCGATTTTGTGTCTGTACTAGAAGTTATTCGTTTAGGGTGTTTTACTTAGTCGACCGGAGACCTAGATGTTATAAGTTTTACCATGGGAAGTGTTTCTCATACTTTATTTCCCATTTAATTTCAAATATCTTGTTACTTTGTTCCTTTTTGTTCACTTCTCTTTTTTATTGTAGTTCTTCACTGTTTGTATTGTCAATCCTATTGCTTCATTTCTCCTCTTTCTTACATTCTCATGTATCGATGTGAACTGTGACAAATTAGACCGATGCGAAACTGATGCTCTTTTCGCTGCCTGTTTCAGTAGGAATGTTTAGTATAAATAAACCACTTATCGGTACATTCTGTAGTCATAAAGGGAAATAAATGAATCGGAAACTGAACGCTGATAATTCTTATTGTGGTACTGAACAACAGCCTTGACTTTCAGAGGAAGTATACGATTCCTCAAGGTTGCAGATTCTATATACTTCAATGTCTATATGTTTGCAAGCACGACGAACAGTTTCGAATCTTTTCGCCAAGTCTGTTTTATGAATAAGCTTTCATCTTATGTATGAGGAATATTAATTGATAAGTTGTATAGAATGGTCCAGTTTGATGTCAATCTTTGTTTCAGAGAAAGTTCTTTTCTACTCTATGTTGTATTCTAAAGAAATAAGTGCGTTTAATTGAACATAACAATACCATCAACTTTTAACCCTTACAAATGCTAATGAAATTACAATAGTTTTCATGGCATTTGAAATTGATATATACAATCGAAGTACTGATCATGTTTTTTTTTGTTTTTTTTCTTAAATAGCATTCTGTCGTAGTTCTATTGCATGTTCTGTCTCGATCATTCAGTTTGCATCATACATTCTTCCGAAATCAAACAATTGGACAGTATTTGTTGAAAGTTAGTAACATCTATAAGTTAATTTTTTTTTGTACATTAATTAGGCGATTATCGTTCATTATACATTCACCCTACTTATATTTAATCATAATTCACAAGCTATTTATATAGGAAAATTAAGTGATAGTTCATCTAATAGTCATTTTTTTTGTGTGTGTGTGTGGCTTACTGAGACTATTTTCTTATGTTCTTAAATAATTAACAGAGAAAAATGAATCACTTGGCTCATTTAGCAGGGCACTAGTTCACTGGTTCTCATCGTGTCATTATTTATGTTGCCTTTTAACTTTCGTTGATATTATGTTTATAGATAAATACGTTTCACGCTTTTATATTACGAATGTTCAATAACCGAAATTATACCTAGTAATATCTACATGAAATTCAAAATTTCATAAACTTTTCTGTGCTCAATCAAATAACGTAATTCTCGATGTTTCTTATTGCCATCGATACTACCAGAAGTTCTATTTGTAGTTATAATACTTTCTGGGTAGAAAATAGCAAAAGAAAGTTTTTTATAATACTTTAGTCAAACTATGACTATGATTATGAACGGTAATCTCTACATGAAACATCATAAAGTAAGTTATGGTTATGACACCTGTTCTCTGTCTCATAGTATCCAGAAAGTGGTACTCTAGTATAAGTCCATTTGACAAGCATAAGTCAACATGAGCAGATCAAATTTATAAATATATACAGCAAATAATTCAGAGGATATTAACGCAAACTCCTCTCAGACTGAGATGCAAGATAATCACTAGTGAGGAAACTTGACATTTTACTCATTCTTGAAATTCCGTCAATTAACGTGTTCGAATTATTATTCTCAGGGCAGGTTGACTTTCTTTCGCTCAAATTATTAAACTGAGAGAAAAACCGAAGGTTACACAAGGTAAACGGATTTGTAGCTGTTGGATTAAGCTTAGAACAAAAGATTTGAACTTCATGCAAATCCAAAATGTTCTATCTTGTGAAAGCTTTTCTAAACATTCTAAGCTTTGGTGGGAGGCAAATAAATGAATAATTCTCTCTTTCTGTCTTTGCTGAAAACCAATCCACGTATATGCTAACTTTCCGACTGTATCTAGTTCTTTTGGTTCAAACAGAAGTTGTTTTTTCAGGTTCACTTTGAAAGGTGTTCTAAAATATCTCACATTATTGAGTTTGAGGAAGGGTGGGGAAGGGTTACTGGTGGCATACCAAACATCTTATCAAGGATTTTGACGTTAGTCTGTCATCAGTTAATCAACATTTTAATGAATCCTCTTGGGAAAATATACTACCAGCTACATACAGTGAAACCAGAATAGTTTGAATACTCAATTCCTTATCCACTAGAGTAAATGTCATTACTTTATTCTTTTTAAAAATGATGGACAGTTTGTTGTTACTTATGCCTATATCTTGGTTGGTGGAGTTTATGACTTCGAATAAAATAACTTACACAGATGAAGTTCTGTGAATGCTGTTCTTGTTTTGTTTTATATTATTGTTTTCAGTTTAGTCAACTGTACCAAGTGCATTCAATGTATCTGTATCGAAAATACTTATACTTTTCAACTCCTTTAAACACACTTCCTTCTAAAATAACTTACTGTAGTACCCTACGGAGTCCTAGAAATTAATATGAATTTTTCTATCTGTAAATTATTATTTTATGAAAGGAAACGGTACATAGCATTTCAAAAGAGGCACTTTTCTTAACTCACATAATTCGATGCAGAATATGTAAAACTAGTCGGCTATATTCTTTTCAGCGAATTTATTTTCAAGCTGCACATTTATATATATATATATATATATATATATATATATATATAATATTTAAGAATATATGTTCCGGGAGAAAATTTGAACAGTAGATGACATTAGTAATAATAATAATGGTAAAGGTACTTATGGTAACAGTTGGAGTATGAATGATAACAAGGTGGATTATATAATGTATAGAGTCGTTCATACAATATATAATCATCAATATCAACATACAACCAGGCATTACTGTCTAACGGATCAAGTTACTGCAGCTCATATCAGCATATCAAGCAACAAAGCAGTAAGATGAGAAGTAAAGGAATAGAGAAGAATCGGTGAGAAGCAGTAGAAGGAAGGAAGGAGGGGTGCGAAATTTTCAATTCAGTATGACGAATAAGATGAAGACAATGTGTAGATATATCTGCGCCACTAAGATCGACTCTATGTCATGTCACTTAAAGTTTCCAGTCACTGGATTCTATTATCACGCGGACCCTGGTTGTCTAGTCTACATTCCCCTACATGGCTCACACCAACAGTCAAAGATTTTATGCACTGATACCATGTTTTATTGTGGTTGCCTCTGACCTTATTTAGGCCTAAACTCACTTCGGCTAATATTGTGGGCCGAGACAGACCGGGACTAGACATGCGTAACATATGCATATAACTCAGAAAGGGATGTAAAATTGATGAGAATGGTAAATCAATTAAGTATTGTGTAATAGGGTGAGACAAGTTGGTTAAAAATGAATTCAATGTTTCCTGAAAAGATTAAGACGATTATAGGAAATAACACCTGAAACTATTCCAAGCGGTGATAGTAGTAACAACAATAATGGTAAAAGAAGGATATAAAGATTACTTGAAAAAAGGAGGAAGCTGATTGTGGTGGGGAAAATGTTAAAGCCATTGACTTTGCTTACTTCTTTTGTACACAAAGATCAGGCTTTAGTTTATGACTAGTTAAGGATTCCGCTGTTTAAAAGAGTTGAAATCAATAAAAAACGAGAGATTTGGCCGAATTTAATAAACAATTTGAAGTCATTTTCTGCGTTTATTGAGTGATGGAAGTTGATCAAATGTTCTAGAACAGAACGTCTAACAGCCTGTACGAAACCAAGCTGGAATATGCTCTGATATACCTGTATGAAACTTTTCCGGCTACAACCGATATACGTTGTTCCTTTTTTCCTCATTTCGAAAAACAGTTTACGCGCTACAGAATAAATTTTCCCATCTCAGAAATTTTCGTTTCAACTTAAAACTAAAACTCTGGATTTTATATACCATAAAAGTGATTACTATCGCTTTTATTAATAAAGGATTCATTTTAAAGTATATTTTCACCTATTTATTGACATACTTGTTATTCTCCGTTTTGTTGGATCGGATTGTTCGACCTCTATTGGCATATGGGCTCCTATGCGGATGCCCCGATATCGCCTGAATGTTAATTGTGATAGTTTGGTTGGTTGTGGCCAGCAGAAGAATCCAGGACGCGCGTTTCGTCCTATTTGGGACTCGTCAGCTGGATATACCTGCACCCCAGTGATGTTGTTCCCACTGAGACTCGAACCTCGTACCCGTCGCTTCAAACGTCAAGGCGTTATTCACTAGGCGCGTCCTGGATTTTTCTGCTAGCCATAACCAATCAAATTATGATATTTTCAACTCTTAAAATATCGTCTCACTTTTCGTTCCTACTATGAAAATCTAGTTAATTGACGACAATTTACCAAAGATTACTGAAGGATCTTATTTGAGTGCGAAATTGGTGGAAGCCGCTTCATCGGGTTTGGTAAATCATGTCCTCCCACTGTGTCCTTTAAAAGAAGTAAGTGGAAGTTTTACTTTCTCTCATTTATCTTACTTATATTTCCACTTACCTTTGCCTAGATTTATTAGTTACACTTCTGGACTAATTAGTGTAGTACAAAGAGTTTGACTCGAAAAAATCTATTTCTCCTGATTCTTATTGTTGAAGGAGAGATTGGATCTGTAATGGAATGGGTTTACTCTTGTAATCTATTTAAAAAGTAGTGTTTACCTGGTAAGATAGAAATTTCAATTGTGATTTGTGACACTTAGGTAGACAAAGAATATTTGTTTCGGTAATTCCCTCTTCAGTTTCTACAGCTATATATTATCCATAACAAATGACATCAGCTGGTCACTTCTTTTCGTCATAAACATACATATCACAACGAAAGTCGAACTACATTTAAAGGAAATAAGTGGATAGAAAGGGGCATACGTCCCGCCAGAAATAATACTTATTAAACTCACAAGAACGTGAAAGTTGTAAGTGATTTGTATCAGTCCTTAATTACGCTCTTCGGTACCCGTTTTCTTAGAATTCCGTGTAAATTCTTATATGTTTAACATATACATTGGGCTATTACGTATTATTTTTAAAGACTCCTGTCATATCATTTCTGTATACTGTCGTCAGCCTAGTTTGTGAAATTACTCAACAAGTAGATTTGTGCAACGTTTGCCTAATCGTTATAGGTTTACAACTCCACTGAACGATGTATTCTGCTTACTTCAAACTTTACATTACGATATGATCAGATAATTATTTTGCAGACGAATCTTAGTATTTGTCCTTGCAGTTCCTGAGTACTATTCCCTTGGTATATTCCATACTCAGTTAACGAAACACTTCAGCGCTAAACTTTCCTTGAATACTACTACTATAAGAAAGATTCCTGTAACTAGTTTTACATTTTTCCTGCATTAAAAAGTTCACAAAAAATTAACTAGTTCTTTGAAAGTAGAAGGTATTCAGCAAAGTATGCTATCAAAAGTGGCAAGCATAAAGAGGATGCTGTAAAATTGTTTTGTCATCTTGTGCAATATTTTCTATAGGAATCATCCGATTGATAAAGTTATAACGATTTGAATCGCCTTCATTTTGAGTGTTGTTGATTTGTAATGAAGAGTCGTGTGTCAGTCAGTCAGTCATCTTTTGAATGAACTCATTCTCATAATTTTACGTTCGTGAATGTATGGTGCAAGAAAAGTGATAAGTGTAGGTGGATCTCTAACCAGGTAGAAATCAGCAAAGCGGTAGAGATAAGTATAGAAAGTGGATAAACGCATATCACATGGTATGGAGGATAATCTAGGATAAGAAAATATATTGAAGTTAATGGAGAAAGCATAGAATTCTAAAAAATTAACCGGAAATGTAAATGTGAAGTTCTACTTTCAGGTTATGATGGAAAACTAAGTACATATATTTCCTGGGAATATATTCTATCCTTTGTTGTATACATTGAGGAGTATACGGCAACGAACATTTGTGTATTGTAAAGATTCCTGTTGTATCCTGAAACATGGCTACTTTCAAAGGATTTTACAAAAGACAATGTCATTGTTGACTATCTCCCTGACGGTTATCTTTGCACAAAACACCGGCAATGTACTTTTTTGTTCAGTGCATTGTGGGTTATTTTCGTTTGTACTTAAATATTAACATATAGTCATATTATATATAATCATAGAATAATGTTATAAATTGTCTTTTTCTTGTAATTTTGTTTTCCTCATTTACTCCTAGCTTTTACTTACTGACTTTATCAATGTATTCATACGTTTACTGACAACTGGAAGTATACTGAATCAACACCGTGATATCTTACCATCATCGTCATCATCATTATTGTCTAAAGTTGAGTCAACCAATCGATCGATAAATACTTTGAATATTAGTAACGTCAGTAGCAATAACGGAAATAATAAGATTATTTTAATAATGATAGCAGTAGTGGTTTTAGTAGCTATAGTAATTCACCTCATCCTTCAATAACAAAATCGAAATCAATTTCAATTTCATTAACAGACTCAAAAGCCTGTATTCAAGACATTATATCTATGCTACATTTGAATGGAATATGGGGATTAAGCAATCTATTGCATACAGCTGATTCTTCTGTTTGTATGCAACTTTTTTGTGAATTAGTTAACAAAGGTATATGGTTGGAATTGTTACAGTTAGCTTCAACAATACCAAACTTGGAATTTAATTATTCTTGTTATATGAAAGATCAATGGAAGGAGAATGCTAAAACAAATACTAACTTTGATGAGAATTCAGTGGTGAACAAGTAAGTTTCAATCTATCTTTTGCATCATTTACACTGTATTCTTTGCCGTAACGTATTTTAGAAGCTTGCTAAGATTTACATAGTTATACGAAAGTGGTGAGACAAATAGGATTGTCATTTCACAGACACCGGTAATACATATACCCCAAAGTGTATTCATTGGTCACGGGAGAGCAACCAATTTCATGTTGTCTAGTCCCGAGTGCAGACCGAATCCTATCGATCATATTTGCAATGTGGCCACCAAGTTAGGAGGCTCAGCATCGCCAGTGCACATCAGTAGATATTAGTTGGTTGGATGCAATCGGCAGGAAACCCTGGATCTACGCTTCGTGTTTGTTAGCACTTGTCAGCAAGGCGTATCCGCAACCTAGACATAACTGAACTCACTTGTTAGTTTATTATACTGAAGGAATCGAAAACGTCTCCCTTATTTCCCGTGTTAATCGGATGCAGATTGAGCTTAACTCACAATATTTTGCATGTTTTGTTCAGTGGCTTATTTACCGCATAACCTACTTGTGTAATCTTTTAATGTTAAGTCCATCAACATTTTGGCTGGAGAAACTTCCACTAGATTATCTATATAATTGTGGAAATTCGTTACCATTTATTAACTCTCCTTTAATTCGCAGTCATGATTTATCACTGCGCTATGACCATTCTGTCTGTCTTAACCACTGACTGATATATTTCGATATTCCAGGTCGTAAGCAGTTGATAAACATACCACCGATAGAATGGATCCGTTTCATCCTGTTCTCATTGTAGTTTTTGCTCTTTACAAACTCCACATCCTTCAAGATTTATCCAACCTAATCTCTCATATCGTGGTCACTTATGTAAAACCTCCTTAAAATCTTCTATCAGTTTGTTTCACCGTAGTGGTGCACGCTACTGCGTTCAAATATCTCTCTGCAATTTTGCACTAGGAAATATAACTTCCGAAATCTTCGAAATATCCAGGGAATTAGTTTCAACATCGCGTACTTTTATCGTCAACACATTATCATATATTGAGTACAAATTGATGATGACGTGTACTATTCACATTATGATACCTTGTTCATGTGTGAAGATTTTATTGTCATAAGATTTATCAAGAGGAAACGCTAGTGAAATAGAAAAAAGAATCTAGCCTACAGTTATAATCATCTAATGTTATTCTATTAAACTCATCACCTAATAAATTTCATTTACTGACAATTTCTAAATGTTTAGTGCTATTATTGCTATTTTCAACCTATGTAGGATTCAGTTACCAGGAATTACAGTTTCACATGAAGACAGTGAAATTAAATGTGATGAGCTGAGTCAAACTAATGAAGAAAAAGATGATGATTCTAAACAAAAATATCGTACCAATTTAAATTTGTTCAATTGTTCCAAAACTCATCATTATTATCACAGTCATCATACTCATCACTATGATCAACATCAATTTCCTCTATGTAATCCTTACTCAAAGTTTACACTTTTTAGAAAAAATGGAGCACAAATTCATATTCTAATTGTTTACCAAACACTTAGCTTCTTACGTAATCTGCTTCGGGATGAAAAAGTAAGTTTATAGTGTTCCTCCATCCTTATCATCAATATCATTTTTAATGTGTTGTATTTACAAACAAAATTCTGAATTTCTGATTGGTTAAAATGAAGTTGGGCAAATTTTATTGATGTTTTGGATCTTACGTTAGAAAGTTATTCAAACAAACAGTTTAATCCTGTGTACTGGGCTATTTGTGGCATAGACCGCATAGTAACCGAGGTATTCAAAGGAGTACTGTGCTTTATGTGTAAATGATCAGCTAAATATGTAGACGGCTGTAACATCACATTAAAGTTGTTTTTTATTGAGGGTTTGTTGCTCAAAATAACTATGTTCACAACTGAATTTCCTTGCAGTTATATCGCTTTATAAAAGTCATAGTTCATGGTTGATTGTTTTGATGTAGGTTTACGTTATCGTATTCATTTCTGTCTCCTAGTGAAATCCTAGATAGGGTGAATTTATTCAAATTGGACATGTTGATTCGAATTTTTCTAAGTATATAGCTCATTATCTCCGTCTTGCGACGAAAAGTAGGCGTATTGTGTCTAGGTCACTGATACGGCTAGCGAAAATCATAGATTGGTTTGGGTGGTTTTCTGCGACCTATTTCGTGTAGCAATATATTTCTTCATCACTGTAGTTACCTGGCTATTCAATCAGAAATATCAGCCGGTTGGTAACTGCACATAGGATAGAGGTGTATCAGTCATTCAGTACGAACATAGGACTTATATTTACTGCATAACTGTTCAGGTTGTTACACTCAACAGCAGCACTCGAATGTGAGAGACAGTGAACTATAAATAATGTAATGAAAAGTAACAAGAAGTCATAAAAAGAAAAGAAAAAAAGGTGAGACAAATAGAGTGGTTAGTAATGATCCAGATGAAGATTGGGCCAATGCATCTTTGCCATTGGTATTGGTTTTGGTTGTCAAGCGGAGCCGCTCCTAGAAGTCTTCATTCCTCTACATAGCTCTCATCAACAGTCAGGAACTTCATGATGCCACGTTTTAGTTTGACCACCTTTAGTCTTTCTTCAACCTGAAGATACTTTAGCGAGCATCGCCCTTCAGGTTAGACGCTAATTTGGTGTATATAACAAATCTCTGCCACTTGAATCGATGAAGGTTGCCAAACCTACCAACTGACTCACCCCTTTTATGTGAGACTCTACGCCCCACCCCTACTTTACTGATGTGATGATTTTACAACAGATTACCAATACTATGAAGGCAACGATTTTTAAACACCTTAAACCCCATGTCCTCAACCTTCAACGACCATGTTTCACAGTTACAGAATTAGGCAGAGCAAACTGCCATGCAGTACAACCGACCCCTTGTAGACATAAATATTTCACTGGAATCATAGATGGGGTAATTCCCGACCGGTAGCTGCTACCTTGACGTGGTGGTCGGGCTTGCATGTCACAATGACCCAACGAGCTATGCTGGGGGAACGCTTCTTCCCTCGAGGTCCTCAGACCAGAAAGGTCTGTTGGATAGTGGTTAGACGAAAAGCAGTTACCGTTGTGATGTAAATTACTACACTATGATGGGGGTCTGAGGGGGAAGTCGTACTGCTGCTAGCTGGATGGGGTGTGACAGCAGTAAGGTTTTTCCCTTGGATGACCAGCAGTGCCATGCTGATGCTGCCTTCTCAGTGGAAGGGGGTGTTAGAAAAGGTCGGCCCCCAAAATAACACACTCCACCATACCCCACGGTCTGCCGGGCCGGTGGTGTTGGTTCACTTGTCGTTTCCTTTCAACCATCCGGCCCCAAAAAAACAAAAGTTCAAAATAATCATACTCAAAAGGCTGGGTGTGACAGGCCTCAAGCAGATGTCCGATGGGCTCTGCGGTCACACAAATCTCTTTCAGGTACCTTAAGAAGAAATAGCCTTCCACGGTGTGGGCAGCCGGGAAGTGTCAACCGCCCTCACAACTCTGTCAGCACCCAAGTTTCTTCTGACTGCTATCCTCCTCCTCCATCATTACCTTCTAATCTTCCTTCACGTCTCTTAATTAATGATGCTGCATCATCTTCAATTTCTCCTACCTCTGCAGCCTTCGACAACGATCTGAGTCCACAGAACAGCATCCCTGGTCTCCTTAAACCACGCTCCAAATTACATATTGGAGCCTTCAATGTCCGCACCCTCCGTCAAATTGGCCAACAGGCTTCGTTGGCAAAGACTCTAGCAACTCAGGGCATGGATGTGTGCTGTGTTTGTGAGACACGCATACAGGACCCAAGTGTGGTTATTCACCTGACCTCTCCTGACCAATCTGGTGAATCTGCAAAATTCACCCTTCGAGTTTCTGGAGATTCGATAGCTAGCTCTCGTGGTCTTGCAGGTGTAGGTATAGCATTAAGCACCAGGGCAGAAAACTCACTACTAGACTGGATCCCAGTTGATAGTCGCCTCTGCGCTATGAGGCTGAACGGCACAGTGAGAACTAAAAGGAATAGTGAGACTCGCCGTTGTCTCTTTGTAATCTCTGCTTACGCACCCACTGACTGGTTCGGATGAAGTGAAGGACGAGTTCTACCATAAACTGTCTAACCTCCTCTCGAAAGCCAAACGTTCGGACGTAGTGGTTGTTGCAGGTGACCTCAACGCACAGGTGGGTAGACTGAGTGAGGCAGAAAGGCACTTAGGTGGCACTTTCGGAATCCCAGCTGAACGTACAGATAACGGTGATCGCCTATTACAACTATGCTCAGATAACCGCCTATTTTTAGCCAGCACAATTTCAGACATAAAGAAAGGCACTGTCTGACCTGGCGTCCACCGAGCTCGACTCAGCGATGGACACAGATAGACCACATTGCTATTAGTCATCGCTGGAGAGGATCGGTGGAAGACTGCCGCTCCTTCTGGAGTACGTGTTTGGACAGCGATCATGCGTTGGTCCGAGCACGTATATGCCTGCGTCTCAATGGACGTGAAAAAGTTGGTAACAAGACCACTACGAGTACTGCCGGATAGCGAAAACACCAAAACAGTGTTAAGTGAGAAGTTCGCTGGGCAGTTGTTGGAATAAAAGACACACACACACACATCCGGAAGAAGCTATGCGCCATTTCCAGTTTGCTGTAAAATCAGCGTTGAAGACCGTAGTCGACTTCAAAATAGTGGCTAAAAAGAGCCAGTGGATATCAGCAGCTTCTTCCAAACTAATGGATGCACGTGAATGCATCCCTGCAGGCTCTGAGTACAATGAAGAGCGAGCGCAACTTAAAAATAAACTGACGAAAAGTCTGCGCAACGATCGTGAACAGTGGTGGGCAGCAAAGGCTAAAGAGATGGAAAAGGCAGCGGCGATCGGTAACAGTAGACAGTTATTTAGACTTATTAAGGAGACTGGGGGGAAATGGTCAACAACAGTTAGTGAGGTTATAGCGGAGAAGGACGGATCGCGATTCACTCGCAGGGAAGGCGACTGGGACGATGGGCAGAACACTTTGAGGAACAGTTTAACTGGCCTCCAGCCACCATTGCGCTGCCCGCTATCCAGTCGGACCCTGAATGGGACATAGAGACAGGTCCCCCAACACTAGAAGAAGTTGAGAAAGCGGTAGGTAGCCTGAAACGGGAAGGGCAGCAGGACCAGACGGACTACCTGCTGAGGTATACAAGAATGGTGGTAGAGTTCTCTTAGTCAGGCTAACGGAAGTGTTAGCCAGTATATGGGAATCAAATACGATCCCCTCCGACTGGTCTAAGTCACTGATCATCCCAGTCTTCAAGAAAGGCGAGAAGTCCTCTTGTGATAACCACAGAGGAATCAGCCTGACAAACATAGTGTCTAAGATCCTAAGTTCTATAATTCTCCGACGCCTGAGTGGAGCTCGGGAACAGCAAGCCCGAGAAAACCAGGCAGGCTTTAGACCTGGCCGTGGATGTATCGACCAAATATTCACACTGCGCCAGGTCCTGGAACATAGGCATGCTTACAGACGCCCGACAATAGCTGTATTTCTCGACCTGAAGGCGGCATTTGACTCCGTTGATCGAGAAGTCTTATGGCAGTGTCTGTCACTGAAAGGCGTGCCTAGTAAGTACATCACCTTATTGAAAGCTCTCTACTCGAACACTTGTGGGCATGTTAGAGCCTATGGTGAGTTGTCCAGGGAGCTATACTCATCAAGTGGTGTCCGTCAAGGATGCCCACTATCCCCATTCTTATTTAATTTTATCATAGATATTCTTATGGAGGTTTCCCTCTCGTCACCTAATTACAAAGACGTTGACCGATCACAGGTGAATTTTCCTTAGATCTAGAATATGCAGATGACATAGTCCTGTTAGGTGAAGACGCTGACAAGATGCAGAGTCTTCTGAACACTTTGAGTGGGAATTTGAGAATGTTTGGGATGCGATTTTCACCACCCAAATGCAAATTTTTGCTCCAGGACTGGTCTTCAGCGGTACCGCGGTTAACAATAGAGAGTGAAGTGGTTGAGTGTGTTGACCACTTCACTTACCTGGGAAGTAGGATCAACCCGGTGGGTTAGTTGCCGATGAGATTTCTGCACGGATACAAAAGGCTCGATTGGCTTTTGCCAATTTGCGCCACCTATGGCGCCGCCGTGATATTCGTTTGTCTATTAAGGGTCGCGTGTACTGCACAGCAGTCCGCTCTGTTCTACTGTATGGCTGTGAAACATGGCCATTGAAAGTGGAGGAGACAAAAGGGTTTCAGGTGTTTGACCACCGTTGCCTTCGTAGTATAGGACGTATTCCGTGGTGTCACCATTTTTGTGAGTAATGCAGAAGTTAGGTGTAGAGTTTTAGGGAGAAGAGGTAAGTCAGTCGACGAGGTTGTGAACCTTCATCGACTGAGATGGTTGGGACACGTACTACGTATGCCTAGTCACCGATTGCCTCGTCACACAATGTTGGCTGAGGTGGGTTCAGGCTGGAAAAAGGCCCGAGGTGGCCAGACTAAAACATGGCACCAATGTATGAAGTCTCTGACTGTTGGTTTAAGCCATGTAGGAC